GTTGAAAATTCATCAAGTTACATAGGCAACCTTAACTAAGGAAGAGGACACATGATTCTGACACCAAACTAACCTATCCTCAGTATTGTCTTCCAAAGCAACAGGAACGCAAAACACCTTAGAGATTAGCTCATCATTTAAGAATTGCTTCAAATATCGAACATCCCAGGTACCATGCTGAAAGATCTCAGCAATGGTTCTATGCAATTTCAGATCAGAAATATGATTAGGAGCTAAATTACAAAGATTATCATCCAGATTCAACCAATTCTCCACCCAGAATTTAATAGTCTCTCCATCACCCACCTCCCATCGAAGACCGGCTAAAAAACTGTTCCAACATTTAGAAAGGTCCCGCCAAAGTTTAGAATCATAAGGCTTAGAGCTTATCTCACGCCTCAAATCTTTACCTCTGCCATACTTGGCTCTCAAAATCTTAACCCAAAGTTCCTCCTTGTCAGTTAAGATTTTCCAGGCCAACTTATGAATATAAGCCTCATTTTGAGTACGCAATCTGATAATACCAAGACCTCCCATTTCCTTCGGCTTATACATTGTGTCCCAAGCCACTAAATAAGCTTTATTAATACCCCAAATGAAGTTCTGTTGAAGCTGTTCAATCTCATCACACACAGAAGTGGGAAGAAGACCATTCTGCATATGAAAAGAGGGAATAGCACCAATCACTGATTTAGCCAGAGTGACTCTCCCCGCAAAAGATAAACTTTGATGCTTCCAACCATCAAGTTTCTTACGAACCCGATCCATTAGATCAGCATAATTTGATTTCAAATTTCGCCCTTGCCTGATAAAAGAGCCCAGATATTTACCAATGCTACTAACTCTTTTGAACCCAGAGAGCGCAGAAATTGCATTTGCAGTTGCATCAGATGTATTGGAAGAGAAATAGATGGTAGACTTATGAACACTTATACTTTGACCAGACATTCTGCAAAAAAGATCTAAACACTCCATTATTACCTGCATTTGCTGCACCGAAGCTTCAGAGAAAAGGACAATATCATCTGCAAACATGAGATGGGAGACTGCTGGACCACCTTTACACACTCTGATCGGTTTCCACACACCACTGCCAACCCTTTGAGCAATAAGATGAGATAGCTTTTCAACACATAAGACAAAGATGTATGGGGATAATGGATCACCCTGTCGAATTCCACGTTCAGGAATAATAGTTTCAGTCAAGCCCCCATTCACAAGCACTTTGAAACTATTAGTTGTGATAGACGCCATAATGAATTCAACCATCCAAGACGGAAGCTGTATTTCAGAGATAACCATACGAATAAACGACCAATTCAGCTTATCATAGGCTTTCTCTAAATCAATTTTAATGGCCATAGTACCCATCTTACCTTTAAACTTTGTCATCGAATGGACAATCTCTTTAGCTGCAATAATGTTATTCTGCAAGTTTCTGTTTGGGACAAAGCTGGTTTGGTTATCAGAAACCAAAACTTCCATTACTTCCTTCAGTCTACCCACTATAACTTTACTCATGCCTTTATAAAACATTGCACAAGGAAATTGGCCTGAATTGAGAAACCAACGTAGGCTTATTAACCTTTGGGATAAGGGTAATAATCGTACCATTAATATCAGCAATGGTTTGCGGGCTTTCCAAATAAGCTAGGAAAGCATTCCAGACTTGATCACCTACCAGATTCCAGTTCTTTTGATAAAAAGCAGCTATGTACCCATCCTCCCCTGGGGCTTTTGAGCCTTTCATTGTGAAAAAAGCTTTTTTAACTTCCTCCTTAGTAACACTCACCCTTAATTTATCCATGACTTCCTCAGGAACAATAGGCCATCTAGTATTGATCCACTCACGATGACAGCTTTCATCTTTGAAAAGATTAATATAAAAATCGCGGATCATCTTAACCAAGCCTTCCTCTTCACGAATCCAACTTCCATTATCATCCTTGAGTTCCACGATTCTACCTCTTTTCCTTCTGACAATAGTCTTTGTATGATAGTATCTCGTGTTTCTATCACCTTGATTAATCCACTGAGATCGAGACTTTTCATACCATAATAACTCCTCTTGATCAAGGACCTCCTCAAGTTCAGCTTTTATCTTGCACTCCACTTTCTCCAGATAATCTTTATTGTGCTCAGAAATGGCTCTTTGAATACCTTCAAGTCTTCTCATCAACTTATTCTTCCTATGCTTAATATTCTCAAACACCTTCTCATTCCACTCCTTAGGATATTTTAAACCATTATCACTCCCACTTTGGTCCCCCACGTTCTGATCCACTTCCATTGCTGTATTTTGAACAGGAGGCAACACAACTTGCCTATCTACAAGTAACATAGGGTAGTCAAATGCTGATTCTGAATTTTAGCAATAGCTTTCTGACGTAGCCCTATATTATTGGCCAAATCCTCTTTTTTTAAGGGCATAGGAACATTTTTAGAGGCTACCCTATCATTTGAGGGTCCCCCAACAAGGATGTACCTATCTGCATGTTCTTCCAATTCAATGCTAGAATGACTCGAGGCATCTTTTCGATTAAAACCTTTTAAACCACTATTAATGATGCCATTATTTTCTACGCTGATGGCTCCCTCATTTCCCCTTGATTTTTGGTCATTAATTACGCTAGGATTATGCCCATGATTAGGCTCCTCATTAATCACTTCCAGCTCAGCTTGATTCAAATCCCCAATCACCATTAAACTGTCATAACATGATTTTGTATTTACTGCATTTAAAACAGGCTGATATGATTGCACTGATAACTGCTTTGATTGCACAGTATTCTCCCCGAAATCACGTTGAGTGATTCTTCTCGAAGTCATCGGCGTTCTGCCATCTTGGGTAGCAGCTTGGCTTCTAGGGCGGCGTTGGCGATTAACCACCATCCAAGGGCCAAGACAGTTCCGGTTTTCTTCAACTTTATCAACTTCACCATCCCCAGAAGGATGAGATTCATTCACCACGATCTGTTCTTGAACAATCTCAGAACAACAATCCTTGCTATGGCCATACTTTCCACAGTTGAAACAAATGAGCCGTAGACCTTCATATTCTATATGCTTCAAAACTCCCTCAAGAACATACTCTCATTTTAAAGGTTTAGCCAAATCCAGTTCAACACAGATCCTTGCAAAGCGACCCCTAGCATGAAGGTTTGTAGTCCTATCAATCTTTATTAACTTCCCTATCCAGTTACCCACCCTACGAAAGAAAACTTCATCATAAAATTCCAATGAAATATTAGGAAGGCGGATCCAAGCTGCTATCTTTGATATGCCCTCGGCATTAGGCCTGAAGCCAGGTTCCCACTTACGTAAGGACAAATAATGACCTCGGACAACCCAAGGGCCTCCACTTAGAGCAAATTCCATGTCTTCATCATCACTAAATTGAACCACATAAAACTCATTCCCAATATCAGTGACGTTCACTTTTCCTTTCCTTCCCCATAGCTCCTCAATCTTTTTCTTCATGAACGAGACACCTGTTGATCTGCCCAGCAGCTTAACAATCAAAGCTTTTTCCCACACTCTATGCAAGCGTCTTCTTCCTCTCTTAGTGCAACCAAAATGAGTCTTTCCATCCTCTTCCACCCACATCTTTATGCCCCCAAAATTAACGTCTTCTTCCTCAGCTGGTTCACCCTGCAAATTCTCACCTTCAAGAGTATCAGCACCCTCATCATCATTCTTCTCTCCATTATGACGTTGCAGCATCTCCTTCCATGAAATTCGACCCTCTTCTTGGTCCTTCATCCAGGATTCCTCCCTAGGAACCATTGATACATCATGTGAGAATTTTTCTCCACGATTTTTATTACGCTTATTACTTCGTTTTAGTATGTCTTCCTCCTCCGATGATCGCTCCGGTGGTTCTCTCACAGTTTTCTCCATTTGGTCCGTAATGAAACTATTCCTTACAACTTCAAATTTTCATGAATAGAATCTTTGGATTGATTTTAACGAATCCTTATTTTATTTACCCAAAATGGGTTGGCTCATCAGTGGTTGGCTAGATTACTGAATGTATTCTTATAACTTGTGTACATTTTCATTTGCTGCTTCTAGAAGATTCAAACTTTTTTTTTTTTTTGGAATTTTGATTATACAAAGTCAAAATTGAAAACCCTAAAAATGAAAATTTCCCAAATCTGAATGGAATTCTGTGCCCTAACTTATCGGACTATCCACTTACGACGGTTCCCGGATCCTCCGTTCATCGATTTTCTTGGCCGGCAGGTGAGCCTCCGTCTCCGTTAGAGAGAGAGAGAGAGAGAAACTGGGGAAGCGAAAGAAAGTAAAAGGGAGAGTGAGAGAGATGGAGAGTTCGGGTTCAGGTGCAGTCGATTGCGGTATAGGATCGATTGTATGGGTCCGAAGAAGAAACGGTTCGTGGTGGCCGGGTCAAATACTTGGCTCCGATGACCTATCTGCTTCTCATCTCACCTCACCTCGATCAGGAACTCCCGTTAAGCTTCTCGGCAGAGAAGATGCCAGCGTGTAAGTGCCTCGCCCTTCTATTACTTTCATACATATTTCGTTTTTTGTTATTCCATAATTCATATCTGTTTTCAAATTTTCAATTCAGTTCACGCTTTCATAGTATAGTACTTAGTTTAGCAACTTGGGATTAAGTTAACATCACTTTGAGTAAAACTGTTCTTGGGAAGTGTCTGTGAGTATATATTTGAGGTTTTTGTTTTTAGCAGTGATTGGTACAATTTGGAGAAATCGAAGCGAGTGAAGGCATTCCGATGTGGTGAATTTGATGGATGTATTGAAAGGGCGGAGTCGTCCCAGGGTATGCCGTTAAAGAAAAGAGAGAAATATGCACGCAGAGAAGATGCTATTCTCCATGCTCTTGAACTTGAGAGGCAATTGTTGAAGAAGCAAGAAAAATTAGGTATTGCTTTTGAACTGATCGAACAGATTTTATATCATATAATAGTGTTAAGAAGGGCATAGTCACATCTTCAGAAACATTAAGAAATGATAATGCGAAAACAAAATCACATGCAACAACATCTTGGAGAAGAGGATTGCAGGACTTTGGACTTAAAAATTACCCTCCTGGGAGAGAAGCTCTCATCTTCTGATGATCCAAGTGTTTCTCAGAAACTTATAGTTGATGATAGTGGCTAATGGTAAAATTCTTTAGATATGTATTACGATCATACTCCAAGGCATGGGACTTGGAGTCCCATATCGGAAACATAAAGGTCTGATGTGGGGTTCATATGGACTTTGGGATCTCCTACCTCATAGGCTAGCTTTTGGGGTGAGGCTCTCCCAAGATCCGTATCATTTGGTATCAGAGCCTTCCACTATGTCTTCCAGTTGCAATCGAGCAGCATGGGTAGTGGCGCTGGCATTGCAGTGTTCGCCCAGGGCTAGTAAAAGACTAGGGCAAAGCCAACCCGCGTGGACCCCGAGGCTGCGGAGCGTGATGAAATGTTACGATCCTACTCCAAGGTATAGGACTTGGAGTCCCACATCGGAAACATAAAGGTCTAATGTGGGGTTTATATGAAATTTGGGCTCTCCTACCTTATAGGCTAGCTTTTGGGGTGAGACTCTCTCATGGTTCGTATCAGTATGAGAGATAGTAGATGATGGATTTGGTGAGAAATATATAATAAAGTGGCATAATTTTTATTTTTATTTAACTTTTGAATATTCTCAGTGTGTATGCACCCCAAGTTGGATTGCAACCAAATGATAAGAGCCAATTTTGGGAAGACTTGGAGGAGGTTTTGAGGGGAATACCACGAGAGGAGAAGATTTGCTTAGGAGGAGATCTAAATGGTCATGTTGGTAAAAGCAATGGAGGTTTTGATAGAATTCATGGAAGTTTTGGCTATGGGACGAGAAACGAGACTGGAGAAGATATCTTGAATGTTGCACTAGCCTATGATTTGATGCTAGCGAACACTTTCTTTCGGAAAAGGGAGTCACATCTAATCACATATCATAGTGGCCATAATCGTAGTCAGATTGATTTCTTTTTGGCTAGAAGAGAAGATAGAGCTTCTTGTGTCGACTGTAAGGTCTACCCTGGAGAGTGTGTCGCTACGCAACATAAGCTGATAGTTCTGGAGGTTCGGTTCGACAAAGTACTTACAATGAGGAAGAGGGCCCAGAACCCAAGGATAAGGTGGTGGAAGCTTAAGGAGGTAAAAGAGAGAGAGAGTTCAATGAAAGAATGTTGCATGAAGGACCTTGAGAGTTTGATGGAGGAGCGAATGCAATATGGAATGAGATGGTTATGTGTATTCAGAATATGAGAAGGAGAGTGTTGGGAGAAAGCAAAGGAAATATGGTGGTGGAATGGAGAGGTGCAAGAGGCAATTAAACAAAAGAAGGAATGCTTTAGATCTTTGCATAAAAGTCCCAATGAAGAGAACTTGCAAAAGTTTAGATTGGCGAGAAAAAATGCAAAGAAAGCAGTGCGGGAAGCTAGAGGCAAGGTTTTCGCCGATTTGTATAAAGATCTTGGGAGCAAGGATGGTGAAAAATAAACTTGCAAAAATAAGGGATAAGAAAAGTAAAGACCTCACCCAAGTTAGATGCATCAAGGATGAAAATTAAAAACTTTTGGTGAGAGATAAAGATGTAAATGAAAGATGGATGAACTACTTTAACAAGTTGTTTGATGGGGATGGTGATAAAAGCGAGGTGGACTTGGAGGATGCTTATGATGATTTGAATAGAAGATTTGTGCGAAGAATTAATACACATGATGTTAAGGAGGCTTTAAAGAGGATGAAGACTAATAAAGTCTTGGGACCTGATGGTGTCCTTATTGAAGTGTGGAAAGGCCTGGGGGATGTGACATTAAAATGGTTGACCAACCTTTTCAATAAGATTCTTCAGACAAATAAGATGTCTGATGCAGGGAGGAAAAGTATGATTTTGCCTATTTACAAAAACAAGGAAGATATACATAATTGTTCTAACTATAGAGGCATTAAGCTAATGAGCCATACTATGAAGTTGTGGGAGAGAGTTATTGAACATCACTTGAGAAGAGACACCAAGGTTTCTGTAAATCAATTTGGATTTATGCCAGGAAGATGTACGATGGAAGCCATTTTCTTGATGCGACAATTAATGGAAAGATATCGAGAAAAGAAGAAGGACTTACGTATGGTGTTCATAGATCTTGAGAAAGCATATGATAGGGTTCCAAAGAATGTTTTATGGTGGGTTCTTGAGAAGAAAAAATTACCATCAAAGTATGTAAAGGCAATCAAGGATATGTATGATAGGGCTACTACTTGTGTGAAAGCTTGTAATGGAACATCAAGTTATTTTCCTATCACGGTAGGTGTACACCAAGGTTCAGCTCTAAGTCCTTATCTCTTTGCCTTAGTTATGGATGAACTAACAAAAAATATTCAAGAGGAAGTGCCATGATGTATGCTTTTTGCAGATGATATTGTTCTTATTGATGAGAACAAAGACGGTGTTAATAGAAAACTTAATTGTGGAGAAGCACGTTGGAATCTAAAGGATTCACGTTAAGTCGGAGCAAGACTGAGTATTTGAAGTGTGAGTTTTCTCTAGCAAGAGATGAAGACCAAGATCCTGTGCACCTACTTGGTCAAGAGGTACCCAAGAAATATGCTTTTAGATACCTGGGATCCATTTTGCAAAAAGGTGGAGAGATTGATAAGGATGTAAATCATAGAATCAGAGCAGGGTGGATGAAATGGCGTAGTGCATCTGGGTTTTTGTGTGACCGCAAAATCCCCCTTAAGTTAAAAGGAAAATTCTATAGAACAACAGTAAGACCTGCAATGCTATATGGAGCTGAATGTTGGCCAGCAGATAGGCAACATGAGCATAAAATGGGAGTAGCAGAGATGAGGATGTTAAGGTGGATGTGTGGTTATACGAGGATGGATAAGATGAGAAATGAAGCTATTCAACGAAAGGTAGGAGTACTACCGGTGGCTGAAAAGATGAAAAAATATAGATTGAGGTGGTTTGGGCACGTAATGAGAAGGCCCCTAGATGCTCTTGTAAGAACAAAAGTTTGTTACAAAAAGCTCAACACAAAGGAAGATAGAGGTAGACCGAAATTTACTTGGGGGAAGATAGTAAAGTAAGACTTAATGGATTGGGATATAGATTGGCGGACAGTGTGCCTTAGAACGAAATGGAGAAAATCTATATGCATGGTGGAGGGTTAGACCCGTTGTTATTCTTATGTTCTAGATGGTCCCTTTTTAGTCCTTTTTCCTCTTTATCTCCCCGCTTTCTTCTTTTCCCCTTCTTTTATCACTTTTATATTTATATTTATATTTATATATTTATATATATATTATTACTATTTTATTTATTTATTTTTTATTTTTTATCTTTTTTTAACCCTTTCGTATCTTTTATTTGGGTTCATCAACCACCTACCCCAATTAATTTGGGATAAAGGTGGTGTTGATGTTGAAATTGAACTTTTGAAAATCAGGGATATCTTATAATCTGACTGTAATTCTGTTTTCAGGAGTGGGGCAAATGGGTTCAGCTTTCCGAGGAAAGAGGAGCAGATGTGTGTATTTTCCAGCTGAGTCTAGTGATTCTCTGGATTTCAAGGAGACTCTAACCAATGTTCCAATATCAACTTCCCAACTTGGAGGGGAGTACCCTTATTGCAGTTCTTTGGCTGAAGAGAGTGAATCTGCTTTTATGGATGATGTTGAATCAGATTCTTCTGAAACTGGTTGTACTAATTCCGATTCAGATTCTTCTGAAACAGAACTAGATAAGGATGAAGAAATGACTATACTTTCAGGTTTAGTTTCTACCATACTTATCTTATGCAGCATATCTTATGGTAGATAAGTTATGCTATCCTTATCTTAACAATATGATCTAATGGTCACAACTTGAAAAAAAAAAAAAAGCATATGATTGCTGATTTAAGTGCTCCATATTTTCTACCAATATCTGTATATTTGAGGCAATTTATTTCCCTTACACCTTTTTATATATCGCATTTGTTCTGAAAGTATTATTAGTTTTCCTTTTTGCATTATTATATGGATATTGAAATGGATTCTGTATGGCAAAGTTGTCTTTCTTCCTTCTATATTCTTGCATCTTTCCTTACTTTTTTTTTTTTTTAAATAATTAAATAAAGAAATAACATTATAACTCTGAATAGTGATTGTATCCTAGCAAATGGCAATAGAATTAACTGAGTACAATATGTCAATCCCCCCCCCCCCCCCCCAAAAAAAAAAAAAAAAAAAACGACAACCATCCCTCCTTCCTTTCTCTTTTTCAGCAAATTAGAGGTAGAAGACAAATACCATGCAATGAAAATTTTTGGTAACAAAGTAGTAAAGATGCTCTATTTCTCGTAAGATTTCTTGTAGGAAAACTGGAAAATTACTACTCTCCTTCCGATCTTGTTTCTGAGTACAGAAGAATTTGTTAAGAGAGAAAATAAGTACAGTGCTGGAGGATCAGGAGTACTCCTGAAAGGAGAAGAATACTATAAAGAAATAAATTAGAAACATTAACTCAATCAAGAACAGGTAACACTCTGTGTGCAAATATGCAACGGTAAGGTTGTGTGCAATGATTGCTCTCACTTCACCCTCGTTAGTTGGGATTTAATGGGGAGTGGTTTATTAACTCAATTAAGCAATCCAATATTCCAGCCTAATTGAATATCAGAGAAAGACTTTGCCTTAAAAAGCCATGACATTATTTACTGTGGATTATCCATTAAAGCTTACCCAATAATATATGTGAGTTTGAATGTAATACATGGTTTCTATTATGTTGTGGCACTACCTGCCTTCCTCTCTCTCTCTCAGAATAACTCGTGATGTGAATTTCTGTGACTCTAACTATATCATTGGGATTTTGTATTTGTGAATCAATTTCAAATCCATTTAGTACTTATCCATTCCCCCTTCTTATTTTTAACCATTATTTAGAATGCCTTGTAATGTGTTCTCATTATTCTTTTACTCCGCATGCATCTTTGTGTTTTGTGTTAGACTGTTAGTTCTAATTCTATTTCACAGCATTCTTTTTGACTCTTCTGATGTTAATGTAACTGCAGAAACTGGTCACGATGATGAAGAACAAGAAAGCACTAGCAGCGAGGAGCCTGATGAGTTGGCAATTTCCAGTGACATGCCTCACCTCTATCCTCGCGAACCTATAACTTGCAATGAAGCTGTATCCAAATGGCAATTAAAAGGAAAAAGGAATAATCGGAATCTTGTAAAAAGGTCTGTTGGTGCTCCTGATAGGAAAGGTGTTTTATATGGAGCAGATGTTGAAGGGCAAAGAAGCCGTGTGAGCCGCAAGAAAGTGGGGTCTAGTTTGCATTACTACAGAAATGATTTTAGTGATGTTCTTGATGACACTGATCAAATGTTTGGATTGGAAGATGAGTACTCTCTAACTTCTAGAGCAGTAGCAAAAGGTCAAAATAAAATTCGTCATGGTGTTGATTGGGATGAATGGGCTTGGGAGGATCAGCCTGCTTTTAGAGGATATTGGGATATTAAAGGGTTTGCTCCATTATATGGAAATCGTTATCATTTTGACAGGAGGATTGGGTCGATGCTTGTAGATGTGGACTTGAAGGTTCAAGCAAGCTATCGAAAAGCGCCTGTCCCCATTGTTTCTATGACGAGTAAGTTAGATGGGAAGGCAATAATAGGGCACCCAATCCAAATTGAAGCCCTTAAGGATAGTTCATCAGATAATCTATTTTCTGCAATTGATGACTTCAGTAATGATGGGATTGGCCTTGAGGGAAGTAGTGTACTTCCACCAGCTTGGAGAACTGCAAGGAGAACAGCAAATGTCCGTGTTCCTCGTCCCCGTATATTGTCTTCAAATGGTGCTGAAGCTGCTGCCGATTTTTCCTTAGATCAAGAAAGAAATGTTGAATGGAAGAAATCAAATGGTGGAAGCTCCAGTCATAAGGCAAGCCTTTCGAGGAAGAGTGGCCTTAACAGTCCTGGGCCTTCAATTGACAAGAAGTCCTTTAAAAAGATTCCGAAGAAAGTGAGCTTTTCATCTAGTCAGAAAACTAGAACTCTATCCTCATTATCTATTGAACAAAATCTTACTAAAAAGTCATTTCTTGATGGAAGTTTTTATCAAACAGATAGGCTGATTAAACCAGAGGTCTCTGGGCTCACCACTGTAGCTTGCATACCAGTCAAATTAGTATTTAGTAGATTACTTGAGAAGATTAATAGGCCACCTTTAAAAGCATCTAGTAATGCGGCTTTGTTGAATACTGGTGTGCAGAGAAAATCATAGGTTACATTTTTAAATGAGAACAATAATCTTACAGTGGTAGCACAACGATTTGTTGGGTATGTCTTGTTCCCAAATAAATAGAAATCTTATTCAATTTATTGTTAGTATTTTAAGGATGAATATGAAGTATAGACCACCAATTCATTCTCTAAGTAGATAAATAGAAGGTACAAGAAGTCATTTTGCTACATTGTAAGTACACATTTCTCAGATCATGGTTTCCCGAGGCAATGAAGAAGCTTAACTTGGGCAGAGAGCAATATCATCTGACTCTAAATGCAACTTGCTATTTAATGATTGATAGCAATAGAATAGTGTATCTCTTTTGTGCTGATCATTTTTTTTTTTGGTACAAGTGTGTGCTGATCATTTTATTGCACAAAAATCAGCTTTAGCCCTTTATTCACTTCAAAAATAGATACCGGCGAATCCTCTGCGTACATATTTCAGGTACGCAGCAGTTTCCAATGTATAAAGAACACACTGAAATGAGATTTAACAGAAATTGTATAGCAGAAACTCAGTTTTGTGGTAAAAGTATTAGATCTTGAGGATTAAATATACCTAATGATATCATTTTCCAAGGAGTAAAATACAAGTTGCTTTAAGGGCCCGTGTGGATGATTTTTTTTTTTTTTTTTTTTCAAAAGCTGATTTTTTTTTAAGAAAAAAACACTTCTTATTTTTAGTTCGTTTGAATGTCTGTTTTTTAAAAAAGTAGAAACTACAAAAAAAGGGAAAAATTAACTTTTTTCAGAAGTTAAAAATTTTAACTTCTAAGAAAAGCAAAAGTCAAAAGCTAATTTTTTTAAAAAAAATTAAATATTTTTATAAAAATATAAATAGCTTTAACTTTTATAAAAAACACTTCTAAAATAAGAAAGAGATAAAAATTACTTTTTTAAGAAATCCAAAGGCTCTCAATTTTATTTCGTGATATACTTACTCTACACGGTGAAGTATCAAATGATGCACAAAAAGATCAGTTGAGGCTAGAGGAGATGGAGAGATAAATATGGTCTCCATTATAGCGCCTCAAATTTCCGACCAAATGTTAGAATCTCAAGGATCTATTATATAGGAGAAAAATATACTTACAACCAAAAAAGTTTATTATCTTTACAATCAATCTAATTACCGTTGATTTTCGTCAATATAATAATTATTATTTATTGAGAATTAATAATTAATTAATAAATGCGATCCAATAATTTCTAATAAATAATAATCGTTAGATTAACAGAAATTAATAGTGATTAAGTTGGTTGTAAATATGATAATTTTTTTGGTTGTAAATATATCTTACTCCTAATATATATCTGTGAAAACAATGAAGAGTCTGACCAAAAAGAGTTGGTAGATAGAAACATAAGGAATGGATAATATACTAAAGGGTTCATGTTTTCTTATGTTGCATGAAAACATGAGAAAACAAGAATAGAGACAAATTAAATGTGGGTCTCATATTTTATATTATAAAAGAAAAATTAATTGGCACAGAATATGAATTAAAAAAGGGATAGGATATTGTGACACTCAAGTTATGTTACGCCCATGTGACACCCAGTCAATCTCACCGTTAGATCGCTTATGTTGATCCAACGGTTATATTTATTTCTATCTTTGTATGGTCATGATTTCTCAAATTTAATATTTTATATTTATTTCTACCTTTGTATGGTTATGATTTCCCATATTTAATGTTTTCACTTTAAATTTGGGAAATCATGACCATACAAAGATAGAAATAAATATAACCGTTGGATCAACATAAGCGATCTAACAGTGAGATTGACTGGGTGTCACATGAGTGTAACATAACTTGGGTGTCACAATATCCAATCCCATTAAAAAATTAGAAAAAGTTTTTTAATGTCATGTTTCTAGGCTGTTAGTTTATTTTATGAAATAGGAAAATAAACCAGATTAATCTTAGAAATTTTTAAAAAACTAGTATTTTAACCCATGCAATGTACAGGTACCGGACGACCGGACGATGGTTATGATGAAATATTTCTTATTATATATTGATATACTAAAGATTGTAAAATACATAAAAATAAAATTTAAAATAAATTTTGAAAGAAATATAAATGTAATAAATATTACTAAATTTAAATAGAAGACTAAACACTCATATATTAAAGTTTAAATCTTTTGTTACATTCTTTATTGTTAGTTTTTTTTACATGAATTTTTATCTTGATCTAAAATTAAAATATTAAAATATATAAATTTTTTGTTTTAAAAAAGGGAAAAGTTCACCAATGACCCTGTGGTTTACTTCAGAATCACTTATGCCCCTGTGGTTTTTTTCTTATCACATATGCCCCTGTGGTTTGTAAAAGGATATGTTTTTTATCACATATATCCCTGTGGTTTCTTATTTTTTACAAAGCATAGGGGCATATGTGACAGGAAAAAAACCACAGGACATATATGATTCTGAAGCAGACCATAGGAGCATTGGTGAACTTTTCCCTTTAAAAAATTTTAAATTGTAGAATACATATTTTTTCTAAATATCTATAGCATCAGTGAGTACAAAATCCTTATCGAAATACTCGCTAAAACTTAAACGGGATCGACAATTCAACATTTATAAGATGTTATTGTGTTTTTGTATTGCGATACAGAAGTAAGTAGTAGTTCCATTTTGGTTTGTTTGTTGCGGCATCTGTGCCAAGGAAGTGCCCTAGCTCTGGGGCGTAGCATCTTCGCGGATTCGTAAATCGTCATTCCGAATTTGAGACTGCGTCGCAAGATTCACACACTTGTATCTCGTTTCAACTGTGCTCTTTTTTTTCTTCTTATTTTCTCTTTTAATATGCATTTCGATTGGTTTTCGCTTTTTATCATGGGTCGACTCTCATATAGATTTGAATCCCTGGTTTATGGTTTAATTCCTGACTTTCTCTGTTTATGCTGGATACCATGCTGTATTTTTCTAATATGCTCTGTTTTCAGTTCATTATTTGCATTGATACGTCAAAATAGTATTTCTGTATCTGTTTTTCCTTCTTGCAAATTATTTGTTGTTCTTAACTGCTTTGAAGCAGTATATCCTTATATTGAATTTGCATCAGTGTGCATCTTGAATGGATGTCTTCTAGGGTTTAAGGATATTCTGTGTTTGCAGAATGTTACCATCACTAACACATAGATTTGGATTTATAGGAAAAAGCAATGGATGAGGTAAAGCATAAATCAAGGAAAGAAGATCATGAGGTGAAAGAAGGGGATTCTAAGAGGAGTCACCGTGATCGAGATCGTGATAAAACTGGAGAAAGAGTTAAGGGTGGAAACGATGGGAGGTACAGGGATAGGGAGAAGAGGGATCGTGAGTCTCGACGATATGAGAGAGAGAAGAGTAGTGATTCTGAAGACAGGTACAATAGAGATAGGGAGAAGCGCAAAGATAAAGATAAGGATAGAACACGAGTTCAGGATGTGGATAGAGAAAGAGCTCGGGACAAGAAAAGGGAAAGAGATAAGGAAGACAAGGAAAAGGAGAGGACAGACAGATTAAGGGAGAGGGAAAGGAAGGAGGATAAGGAGAGGACTAGAGAGAGAGAAAGGGAAAGGGAAAGGAGGGATCATGAGAAAGAGAAGGAAAAGGAAAGAGAAAAGGGGAGGAGAGTACGTGAGAGGGAGAAGCGTAGGGAAGTTGATAGTGAATACAGTGATGGTGAGCCTCGGGAGAGAGATAGGAAGCGGCATCGGAAAGAGGATGATAATGACAAGGGGCGAGAGAGGGAAAGAAGTGCCAGCAAGTCCAACAGGCAAACTGAGGAACATGAAGCAAGCCCAAGGAAAAAGAGTGGTGGAGATGACATAGATACCAAAGATGAAGAGATAAAACCTACACGTGAAGAGGAAATGGAGGATGAACAGAGGAGGTTGGATGAAGAAATGGAAAAGCGGAGGAGGAGAGTTCAAGAATGGCAAGAACTAAGGAGGAAGAGGGAAGAAGCAGAAAGAGAAAAGCAGGGTGAAGAAAGTGTTAATGAACTTGAGTCTGGAAAGACATGGACACTTGAAGGAGAATCTGATGATGAAGAAGGACCAGGTACTGGGAAGCAAGATACAGCTATCGATGTGGATGAAGAAGACAAACCTGCTGATAAGGAACCTAGCGATTTGATGGTGGTAGATGTTGATAATGGACCGGTTGCACCTGATTTAGAGGATGCAACTGCTGGTGCTCCTTTAGATGAGGAAATAGATCCATTAGATGCTTTCATGAATTCTATGATTCTACCTGAAGTTGAAAAGCTGAACAATGCTGTGACTGCGTCACATTTTGATAACGCCTCTGAATTGAAGCCCAAGGATAAAGGGGATGAGCAAAGTCGTGGTGCACAGTCAAAGAAAGGTTCAAATAAATCTATTGGCAGAATAATTCCTGGTGAAGAGTCTGACTCAGATTATGCGGATCTTGAAATTGAGGGGGATCCCGTAGATGAAGATGATGATGAGTTCATGAAAAGAGTGAAGAAGACAAAAGCTGAGAAGCTTTCTATAGTTGACCACTCAAAGATCGACTATGAACCATTCAGGAAATTTTTTTATATTGAAGCGAAGGAGATCTCAAAGATGACTCCCGAAGAAGCTGCAGTATCCAGGAAGCAGTTGGAGTTGAAGGTACATGGAAAGGATGTTCCGAAGCCTGTAAAATCTTGGCACCAGACTGGACTTACTAGCAAAATTTTGGAGACAATAAAGAAGTTGAACTATGAAAAGCCGATGCCTATTCAAGCACAGGCACTGCCTGTAATTATGAGTGGTCGAGATTGCATAGGTACTGCTAAAACTGGTTCTGGCAAAACACTTGCTTTTGTTTTGCCAATGTTGAGGCATATCAAGGATCAGCCACCAGTTGTTACAGGAGATGGTCCTATCGGACTTATTATGGCTCCTACAAGGGAACTTGTTCAACAGATTCACAGTGATATAAAGAAGTTTGCAAAGGTACTGGGACTCAGGTGTGTTCCTGTCTATGGAGGTTCTGGTGTTGCTCAACAAATTAGTGAGTTGAAACGTGGTGCTGAGATAGTGGTTTGTACACCAGGTAGGATGATTGACATACTATGCACTAGTAGTGGAAAAATAACTAACCTGCGTAGAGTCACTTATCTGGTCATGGATGAGGCTGATCGAATGTTTGACATGGGCTTTGAACCTCAAATCACGAGAATTGTTCAGAATATTCGACCAGATCGTCAAACGGTTCTCTTCTCTGCTACTTTCCCCCGTCAGGTTGAAATTCTGGCTCGTAAGGTCTTGAATAAACCTGTTGAAATACAAGTTGGTGGGAGGAGTGTTGTGAACAAAGACATAACACAGCTAGTTGAGGTGAGGCCAGAAAATCAGAGGTTCCTTAGACTCTTAGAAATATTAGGGGAGTGGTATGAGAAAGGAAAGATTTTGATGTTTGTCCACTCACAGGAGAAATGTGATCTTTTGTTTAAGGATCTGCTCAGGCATGGTTATCCATGCCTTTCTCTTCACGGGGCTAAGGATCAGACAGACCGTGAATCCACAATTTCTGATTTTAAAAGCAATGTCTGCAATTTATTGGTTGCAACAAGTATTGCTGCCAGGGGATTAGATGTCAAGGAGCTTGAATTGGTGATCAATTTTGATGTTCCAAACCACTATGAAGATTATGTACATCGTGTTGGTCGCACTGGCCGAGCTGGCCGAAAGGGTTGTGCCATTACATTTATTTCTGAGGAAGATGCAAGATATGCACCAGATCTGGTGAAAGCTTTGGAGCTGTCTGAGCAGGTTGTTCCCAATGATCTGAAAGCTCTTGCTGATAGCTTTATGGCAAAAGTGAATCAAGGACTGGAGCAAGCCCATGGGACTGGTTATGGAGGCAGTGGCTTTAAATTTAACGAGGAGGAAGATGAGGTGAGTAGAGCAGCAAAGAAAGCGCAAGCCAAAGAATATGGGTTTGAAGAAGACAAGTCAGATTCGGAAGATGAAGATGAAGGTATTAGGAAGGCAGGAGGTGACATCTCACAGCATCCTGCTCTTGCTCAGATTCTTGCCGCCACGAAAGTGAATTCTCCTGCAGTGCCTACTCCCAGCTCTGCTGGCCAGCTGATTTCAAATGGCGGACTACCTGTTTCTTTGCCAGCTGTTCTTGGTCTCCAGAATGCCACAGTCATGCCTGGGACAGGGCTACCCCTTGCTGCAAATGACGGGGCAGCTCGAGCAGCATTAGCTGCTATAAACCTGCAGCACAACTTAGCAAAAATACAATCTGAAGCATTGCCAGAGCATTATGAGGCTGAGTTGGAAATTAATGATTTCCCTCAGAATGCTCGCTGGAAAGTCACACACAAGGAAACTTTAGGCCCCATTTCTGACTGGACCGGAGCTGCCATTACCACCAGGGGGCAGTATTACCCACCTGGCAAAATCCCAGGACCTGGAGAACGCAAACTCTACTTGTTCATTGAGGGTCCCAGTGAGCAGTCTGTTAAGAGAGCTAAAGTAGAATTGAAGCGTGTTTTGGAAGACATCACAAATCAGGCTTTGCAACTTCCCGGTGGAACTCAACCAGGCAAATACTCCGTTGTATAAAGTGTAAGATCCTGATCCAGTTGAGCATATTATTGCTTATTTTTATTATAGTAGCTATTTATAAGCATTATGTTACATACTTATATGCAGGGGAAAGATGGCTGTCCAGCCTAGAAGCTTTGTTTTTTGTGATCTATTTTGTTCCCTGTAGCCATATATAGGTGTATAATTATCCTTTGCTGGATGGTCTAGATCGATTAAAGTGATTTTATCCTTCATCTTCTTAGGGTGGATTTTGTTTTAGTTCAGAACTAAAACAGATATTCTTTTTGTGGGTTTAAAGTTGGGAATAAACTTGATTTAGTGTGTAATCAGAGCTAGCAAACTGGTGATATTTGTTTAGCGATGTTTTTGTATAGTTATTTTTTTTTTTTAAAAGTTCTGCAACCTAAGAGTAAATCTACTTTTGGTAGTCAACGTGAAGGCAAAATGGGACTCTGTTAAACACTCTTGTCTCGCGCCCCAATCCGGGACAAGTTGCACATATTGTCTGCCTTTCTTACCCATTCGTTGTCATACAGGTATGACTATTATTGTGGAAAGTCTGGCCCATCTCTTCTTTTGTGTTTTTGTGCGTGTGTGTGTCTGTGTGATTGCTTGTAGCAAACTCTTCCTCCTAATATCATTTCGCATACCAGCTAATATTAAGATATTTTGCTTTTTATTAAATTTTAATTTCAATAATTTCTATCCTTTTGGTTTTTATCTTTCCTGTTCATCACTCGCTATGGTGCAGGTGGGTCTTTTGAGCCTATGCTTGCATGGCATGTTCAATATTTTTCCATCCATTGCTCTTGCTACGTGGCCTGTTGAAGGTGCTGATCATGGTGCGGCATTTTTTGATCTAAATCCTTTTTTATTTGAAGCGAACCTATCGAAACACCTGTTTTTGCCCCGTGTTATTCCATGTGCATGAGTTGTGGGATTTATGATGGTATTATGTGTTTGTTTATCTGATTATACGTGTATATCTTTCAGGTTTTGGTTCGGTGTTCTTCTGTCAAGAAGATGTGATGGGGAGATCGAATGATTCAGTTATTGATGCATTTGCCTATGACATAATTTGGATTTCTGCTCATGTACAATAACGGTGTATCTTTCTAATAAGTTTACCATTTAATGGATATACCTAATATGGCAACTAAAGCGTCAGCTCAGGCTCATAGCATTCATAAGATCGTTGCCCTTGTTTCGTGGAACTCATAAATTCTATTTTTTATGTTGTAAAAAATTACTCTGTTTGCTGAAAGCATATTTAGGAATCATTGCTGGACATTCTCCTTGTGGAGCAGAGTGGCGTTTACAGATTCATGGTCTATATTTGGATGTACTCGCGGTTTTCTTTTAATGATTTTAGTATTTATTTATTTTTATTTTTATCTTTTACTTTTTTGCATGTGTACGTATTTTTAGATTGGAGGCATTATGTATCTCAATCTCAGATAGGCACTATGCTTTGGGGAAAGAAAAAAAAAAATAGTAGTTAAGGAAAAAAGAACTAATTGATTCTTTTGGTTCTTGAACCGGTTTTATATAAAGTAATTTGGTTTTAATTTTTTAATTTTTTTTTTGTTAACATCTAGATTGCCTTTACTTTCGTTCTTGTTAATCGGTGATTAATGGGAAACGGTTTGTTCACTTCCCTAATAATATTAATTTCTATTATGTATTTATCAACAAAATTTTGTCTCTTGATTTAACATTTTATAAAAAAAAAAAAATTGTTCAAAATCTTGATGTTTAGATATTTCAATCGTGTTTAATATCTCTAATGTTTTAAAAGATAAAATTATTTTTTATATGTATAAGTGTATAGAGTATTTTTATTTATTTATTTTCCTTTACCCATGGGTTTCGTAAAGTGTAGAAGATAAATAACATGAAAAACAACTCATTCCATATAAGAATCTGAAAATTATTAACCCATTTCAATTATATGAGATTATGCTTATCCTAATACTACATTTGAAATACGAATTTCATCTACCAAAAAAAAAAAAAAAACGAATTTCGATTTTCGCTTATATTTAAGTGCGTGTACTGTATAAGCTAGTGTAATGTATTCTTAAAAAACCAGTCCGAAAGAAACAAGGTCTGTTTCAAAGGCAGAGAAGAGAAAGAAAAGGTAGCGTGTATTGTATAGGCCATGGAGTTGGAGCAAGATAAGCAAGGAGTAGAACTCCACCTCCTTCCCCGTCCATCGTCTGATAATAAACCCAACGGCAACAGCAACGGCACAAGGCCAAAGCGTTTCATAAAGAGCCAAATCCCCGATTCAATCCTAAACGACCCCGTTCTCAATGCCGCCATATCCATTCTCCCCTCCAACTACAACTTCGAGGTCCACAAATGCGTCTGGCGCGTCCTCTCCACCAAAGCTAAGCGCGTCGCTCTCCAATTCCCTGAGGGCCTCCTCATGTACTCTCTCGCCCTATCCGACATCTTCACCACCTTCGCCGGTGTCTCTCACTGCTTCATCCTCGGCGACGTCACCTACGGCGCTTGTTGTGTCGACGACTTCTCCGCCATCGCACTCGGCGCCGATCTTCTCATTCACTACGGTCATAGCTGCCTTGTACCCATTGATTCCACCACCATCCCTTGCCTTTACGTCTTTGTTGATATCAAAATCAACGTTGACCATTTCGTTGATACTGTTAGGCTTAACCTTCAATCTTGCGCCAAAACCCTAGTACTTGCCGGTACCATTCAGTTTGCCTCTGCAATTCGGGCGGCGAAATCTGAACTCGAAAATTGTGGGTTTAGGGTTTTGATCCCGCAGTCCAAGCCGCTCTCGGCCGGTGAGGTTCTCGGGTGCACTGCACCCAAGGTGTTTGATGATAGTGGTGAGAGTGTTTTGGTGTTTGTAGCGGATGGAAGGTTTCACCTTGAGGCGTTCATGATTGCAAATCCGGGGATTAAGGCCTTCAGGTATGACCCTTATATGGGGAAGTTGTTTCTGGAGGAGTATGATCATGTGGGTATGAAACAATCAAGGAAAAATGCGATTTTGAAAGCAAGGGAAGCTCGGAATTGGGGTGTTGTTTTGGGGACTTTGGGTAGGCAAGGGAATCCGAAGATTTTGGAGAGATTGGAAAAGAAAATGAGGGACAAAGGATTCAATTATACTGTGATTTTAATGTCTGAGATAAGCCCTGGGAGGATTGCTCTGTTTGAAGACTCTCTTGATGCTTGGATTCAGATTGCTTGTCCTCGATTATCAATTGATTGGGGTGATGCTTTTATGAAACCAGTTCTTACTCCTTTTGAGGCAGAGATTGTGCTAGGATTGATACCTGGTTGGTGGGAGAAAACTAAGGTGCCAAAACAGTGTTGTGAAGATGGTTTGGGTTGCAAGAAGAGCGGTTCTTGCTGTGAGTGTAGCTGCGGAGATGCAAAGGGAACGAGAGATTTTGGTGGTGATTATCCGATGGACTACTATGCTCAAGATGGCGGGGAGTGGAATTCCTCTTATGTGAAGAAGTCCTCTCGTCCTGCAAGGAAAATTTCTATATCTTCTGTTGCTAATACTGTCATTTCCCAAGATTCTTAAATTTGCTTTGTTATAACTCTTTGCTCCAAAAGGGTAGAGGCACGAGTTTATTGTTTTATTATTAGCTTTGATTTTTTAAGATGATTTTTGTTCTCTTGGTACCGCTGTGAATATTTGCCAAGGAGATGTTGAACGCCATGGCGTAGTTTATTAATCTCGAGATATGTTATAACGCGTTTTGGATATGTTGCTTTATTTTCTGTTATCAGTGGGATCCTGGATTGCAGATTTCAAAGCTAGGGTTGAGATGCTCTAACCTTTTGCTTTTTTTCTTAAAAAAAAAAAATTGGGTGTATGCCTTTACCTTTGGTCTGATCGGAGATTCGAAATTAGAATGTTGTAAGCTTGGGCTTTTGTTGCTTGATTGGGAATTTTTGTGCTACTTCAACTTTTTGATTCTCTCTTATTGCTGTTGGCTAAGATTTCCATTTTGAAACTTTATTTGGGTGAAGAATATTTAGTGTTGAAATAAGTTTCGGTTCCAGTTTAGGAGAAAAACTTCAATTCAGGGAGCACTAAATTCGTTGTTCTCTTTTATTATATAGGATTTTTTTTTTTCTTTTTACCCATGTTTTTTTTTTATTTTCTTAAGTTTTAAAAAAATTTCTTATTTAGTAAAAGTACCGAGTTCGGGTGCTCCCAGTACATTTAAAATTTTCTCCCAGTTTAGGCTTTAGAGGGTTGGTTGCTAGCACGAGGGTGCCCCCGTACAATAAGCTATGTTACGGAATCTTATAACCCTTTATTAATAATTAATTACTAATTTGACATTGATTATGAACTATTTTAAAAATTTAACTTCCTCAAAAAACATAACACCAATCTGCTCTTGTTTGACCGTTGACCACAAAGTCTATCCGGGTACACCCTTCACTACCCGGGTATTTTTTGAAAATTTTTGCCTACCCGGGTAGGTAGGGGTGTACCCGGGTAGTGTTCTTCGAATTTGGGAATTTGCTTGCACTATTTACCCAGGTATGGAGGGGTGTACCCGGGTAAATGTCGTCCAGAAACCCCAATATGAATGGGTTTCGGCCATTGTTACGAGATTTAGGTTTTTTTGCCCCCCAAATCTCTGTCCCTTGAGCTCTCTCGACCGAAACAGCACAAATATATTTCATGTCATCAATTTCTCAACGTTAATCTTTGTAGGACATTGAGATTACACATCCACACTCTCATTTTGTGCTCAAAAATCCGAACCAATCTCCAAACCTAAAACCTAGACCTAATTTTTGTGTGAAAGATGAGTTCAAGTCTAAATATGGTTCCTATAGTTATTTACTACAATGTAAGGCATTTTGAAGGTCCGAACGGTGTCCGATTTGAAGGAAAAACAAAAACGATGAAAATCAAACTGGGCAGTACATGCAATGAATTGAAGGAGAGAATTCTCCAAAAAATGGGGTTAGAAGACATACAATCCATCCACCGCATGATAGCCAGGTTAGAGACTGTAGTGGATATTGATACAATATACTACATTGGTAACGATATCAATGATGATGAAGATGTGGAGTTCGTAACAGATGCGTTTGTTGGATGGAAAGTATTAAAATATATTGAGATATATGTTGAAGTTGATGCTGGTCAGTCTTTATCTTTACCGGTGCATGCAACCACTACTGCACACTGTACTGGTCAAGAAGATACAGTTGTACGATCTTCCGCACCTCCTCAGGTAGCATTGGATGAGGATGAAGAGGATGAGGATAAGGACTATGTGGACAACGAAGATGAGGGAGAACCTGAAAGTGCTATTCCACAAGGTGATTCGTCAGACACTGACGTCGACGGAAATTTTGACGCTGACACGAGCGCTGTAAGTCTGGGCACCCCAGCCTTGTCACCACTTCATGTTGACCCAGCCTTGTCACCACTTCATGTTGACCAGTCAGTAGTGGTAAGTTATTAAATTGTGACATTGGCTTTAGACAATTTATTATTTGTGGTGATATTCATTCAGACAAATGAGAGTTGATCTTTAGATGCAGGGACTGCGGTGGAGCCTTTTTGGAATGAAAGCCAACATTATTCATTCATCAATTGGGCGCACCCTAATGACGAGTTGGAGGTCCTATATGGGGATGATGACTTGCATGGAGGTTGAAAGTTAGGAGATCCATTATTTGTGCAACAAGAATTTGGCTCCAAACCTGAAATGCAACATGCTGTGAAGATACATTGTATGAAGGGGCACAGGACAACCATAGTTGAAAAAAGCGACGAGTCAAGATTTGTTATGAAGTGTAAAAACCATGCTGACGGTTGTCCCTGGTATATGAGGGCAATTAAGCCGAAGAAGGGAGCTAATTGGGTGGTCCGTAAATGGGGTCAAGGTCACACATGCCTAAATCAGGGCCTATCACAGGATCATAGACAATTGGATTCAGATGTCATTTGTGCGGATATAATGAGTATGTATTCTACTGTGTATTTAATGATTCAGATTAATTGAGAATATGGTAAAGTTGTTTTTTTTTTTTCAGATATGTTAAAGGAAGATCCATCCACAAAACCAACTCTGATACAGGAGAGGATACAGGGAACATATGGATACAACATAACGTACAGGAAGGCCTGGAAGGCAAAAATGAAGGTCATCGTTAAGTTGTTTGGTGACTGGGAGAATATTGAACATCCAAGTACAAAAAGATCCATGCAATGTAGGTAAAGTTCCTAATTGTACCAAAATGACTACATTACATCCAAAATGGTCATCCTACTAAACCCAAAATACACCCAGTAATATAAAACCCTCATGTGAAACCCTATGGACAACCTAATCCGATTGCGTGTCCTCCCCATTCTCATCATCCTCCTCCACATCATCACTGTCCGCAACAGCAGCATCAGCCTCCTCCTGAGTATGGGCACCCTTGCCAACTAAACCCTCCAAGCGTGTAACCCTTGTGTCCAATCGTGTAACCCTTGTGTCCATCTGGTTCTGCCACTTGCTTGTGCTTTGTCTAAATCCTCTAAAGTCAGTACTCAATGAGTCCATGCGATGATATGATCAGATGTCCATCCACCCTCAGGAGCTGTCCATCCACCCTCAAGAGATGGAGGGTAGGACGTGTCTGTCCGTCATCAACCTCAGCAGCGCCGTCATCGTCATCGTCATCATCAAGGCCTGCATCATAAACCATGAAAAACACATATTATAAATACCACATTAGTATTAAAAAAACCAACAAAAAAATGCATAAACCCAAACACATCACCTGCAGATGCATCCTCCATCTCAGCATCGTGGTGGACTGGGATCTCAGGTGGTTCTGGTGCCTTCTTCCACATCCAGATACCCGCTCTGTTCGGTAGGATTCCACATTGCTTCAATAGCCTCTCACCAAATATAGCATTCCAGCCTGTGGCGGTCTTCAAGGTCTCTGTTGCCACAGGCACACCAAATCTATGCAGAATCTTCTGCACCAGGAATGCAAAAGGCAATTCAGCTTTCTTTGACTTGGCAGCCTTCCACATCAATATGCATATATAATGCCTCCAGTTCACCTACTGACGGTGAAGGAGGGCCCACAAGATGACAAAGTCCCATTCCAGCACCTTCGAGTGATTATGCGGGCGCTGGAAAATAATATGTGTCACCACGTAATGAAGAATGCGAGCAGACACCGACAAGTTGCTCACAGGATAATGAGCAAAATGTCCGGGCTCAGTGTCTGCCCTCCTAGTCTCTGTAACAATGGCATCCCGGTCATAATCACCAAATATGTGATGGCTGTCTCCATCATATGGTGTTGCTCCTGTGACACCATCAAAATCAAACCCCAGTAGCTCCGTCCAGATTGGAGCAGTCATGATGATATCAATCCCGCAGACACGGGAAGTCAGCTCGCCTTGCGAGTACCCAAGGTTCTGGTAGAAGGCTCTTACCATAACCTCAGAGTATGGGCACCGTATCTCCGCCAAGTCAACTAAATGTGTCTCCTCAAGAAGCGACACAATGTCGAAACGCTCCAAGTTGAAGAAGGCCGAATCCAGTGATTTCGGCTCGCAGATCTTCCGACTCATGAAATACTTCACGAACCTCTCGTGTGCAAGTATGTCATCCTCAAACAGATATCCGAACGTCAAGTCCAGAGCCTGATTCGAAGCAGCCTGGGGCTGAGAGGATGACCCTCCATCGTGACGACTCTTGGTTCTTCTCTCGGAATGGGTCACTGACAGCTTTGAAACGCGTCTAGAGGTCATTGCGTCACACTATTAAACTAAAAAAATAACCAAAATTAGAAATCAGATACATACAGGTTAGGGTTAGGGTTAGGGTTAGGGCCATTTTTTTCAAAAATTAATCGGTCAAAATCAAATTACACAACCATGCAAACTACAAAAACGCAATAAGGGACAAACATATTGGATGAAATCAGAACAGGAAACATCCAGAAAGAAAAAAAATTAACCTTGGATGGATTTCAATCGGTAGAAGGCAGAGACTCACAATGCATGGACTAATGATCACAACCACGAAGAATTTGAGCAAGATTTCGTCCTCAATCGCGCAACACAAGGAACTTCCAGCAGCTCTACTCGGGTACCACTTTGTGGGTTTTCCAAACGGGGCTTCTGGCTTGTTGAAAAACCTTACCGTCGACATTTACCCGGTACACCCCTCCATATCTGGGTAAATAATGCAAGCAAATTCCCAGATTCGAAGAACACTACCCGGGTACACCCCTACCTACTCGGGTAGGCAAAATTTTTCAAAAAATACCCGGGGAGCGAGGGGTGTACCCGGGTAGACTTGGTGGTCAACGGTCAAACATGGGCAGATTAGTGTTATGTTTTTTGAGGAGGTTAAATTTTTGAAATAGTTTATAATCAAGGTCAAATTGGTAATTAATTATTAATAAAGGGTTATAAGGGTCAAAAACATATGTTATGGTTCATTGATTTGCAAACAATCTTAAAACTTTATAAATTCCTCGGAATGGATAACTATGAGTTTGTTGTTTACTTTTCTTTTCCAATTCAATTCTATTCGAACTAGAATCCTACAAAACTTGAATGCCGGGAATCTATCAGAAATATGATCAAAATATTCAGTTTACGATAATATCCAAAAATTAAAAATTTATAAAAATTCAGTTTTCTGAAAATCTTACAAAATACCTTGTACCAAACGCCCTAACTCACATTAGGGAAATCATTATCTTCACTTAATAAGATATTAGACCTTAATATATGAGTATATTCTTATGCACGGACACGCTTTTTGGAAGAAAATAAAATAAAAAAAATGTGTTAGATAACGACATGTTTCGACACACGGTTAACATATTTCGACACGCGGTTAATATTTCGATATATAATTAATATTTTCCGACGCATTTTTGATATGTGGTTAACATTTTCCAACACTTTTTTTTATATCCAAATTTTATTTTATTTTCATTTTTTTAACTAAATATGAAAAATTAATTTATAAATTAAATATTTTCTATTATGAAATTTGACCTAAAAATTAATAAGGTATATATATATATATATATATTTATATTATAAAATTTGAATATTTAATTAATCATATGACTTATTATGAGTTGCTATATGTATTAAATGTAAACTATATTATACATATCAAAAATATTATTTAATATCAAAACGTGTCCTAACGTATTAAAATTTAACTTTTTTTAAAATTAACGTATCGGTATATTGTGTTGGTGCAACATAATGGTATTAATTACCCCTCCAATTCTTTATGTTCTTAAACTCTTTTTTTTTTTTTTGGAAATATTCTTAAACTCTTTTTCTTGGCTTAAAATTCTGGGGCTTGACACAAATTTTTCGTGAGCCACATTAATTAGAATTTTCTGGACAAGTAGGGAAAGCACCGACCACAAATTCAAGTCATGATGATGATTAAGAATTATGCAAGACAGTTTATGGAGAAACCGTAGAAGAATGATTAAAAATATCTAATTCAAAGTTGTTGAATCACAATTCGTATGGTATATCATTTGGTCGGTTTTTTGTATTGTATTAGTATATTGTGAATAGTAAGATACAGAAATATAATAAAATTTATTTAAAAATAGATATTAAAATATTTATTTAATTATTTTCTTTATTTATTCAGATTGATAATAATTTTTAGATTTTTTATTTTAAACCATAAATCAAATCTTTATTTTTTTAATATTAAAAATTACAAATTTTAATTTAATTTTTGTATCGTACATATATGATACATATAGTATAGTATGATATAATATCGTAATGTTCAATACAAACTACTTTTCGATACACTTCACGATTCATATTACTGTATTTTTGAATCGTATTGTGTATCGTATGATACTGATAATTATGATCTAAATTCATATAAACCGATCACTTAATTAAGCATATTTTCAGAACTACAAGAATAAAAACAAGGGGGGGGGGGGGGTTAATTTAGGTGACATTAACCATAAAAGGACAAATAGAATCGGAAAAAATTAGTTATATTAACTTTATTTAATTTTAATAAAAGATATGCTGAATATTCGATATTTCCTTAATATTAAAGATATTTTTCACTTAATTAAATCAGACTTATATAATACACACGTATAGATGATAACTTAACCCAAAACAATAAAATTATAAATAATTTTTACAATTGTATAATTTGAATTGACTAGACTTGTTCCAGACCCAAACATTAGAAATGTATGAAACAAGTGGCTTCTTAAAACATGGTACTATGGGCCGTTTCGATAAGATTTTGAAAATACAAAATTTAATCCTTGTATTTTTGGAAGAACATTTTTTAAAAATTAAAGTTATTTTACATTTATATTTAATATGCAAAAACATTTTTAATTAAAAAATATTTAAATGTTAAAATTAATAAAAAATATTTCTTTTTTCATGTATAAAATTACTAAATTTCTTTTATAAAAGCAAATCGTGAAAGTCGAATTTGATGATGGCGAAGATAGGGACCGCGATTACGGATAATAACATGATTGTGATGGGATGGTTGAGTGAGATTCATATAAATTTGAATTTTGAAAAAAATATTTAATTTTTTATTTTTATTTTTATTTTTAAAAGCTAAAAATTTTAGCATAAAAAAATAAAATTGTAACTTTTTTTGTGACTATTTTTTTTTTTAAAAATTAATATCCAAACATTCATTCATAAAAAAATATGATTTTAGTTAAAAAAAAAAAACTCATCCAACAACAACATCTATCTATGTATCGTAATTAGATAGAACCACGAACCAGTCCGGTTAAGTTTGTAGACCGTTTTTTCTAATTAACCGGTTCAAACTAAAAGAAAACTTGCCGAACCCGCGACCCAACCCGTTTTATATTTTATGTTCTTAATAGAACTCTCGTTTCACTTGTTACCTTAGAGCAAGCACTTGTGCTGCGTTATTGTTTCTTCTCTGAAGTTGAAGGGTTTGGGCCTATGCCATTGACGTCGTTGAAGTCTTCTCTATTTTCGGTATGCATTCAAAGCCGTGACTCACTTGCCTTGATTTGCGTTGTTTTAGGGTTGTAGCATTCATGCGACACTTCTCTTCTTTGGTGCTTTTAATTTTTGTTTTATGTATTTCGAAAAACTTGAATGATTGTATAGACTGGACATGGTATGAGTAATTATTTCATGGTTTCGTAGTTTTGTTTTTTTAATTAATTGGAGATGTATTTGTTCTGTTTGATGAATTGCCTGAAAAGTATGAGGATTAATTAGATTATGTCCCAGCGTAAATATTTCTTGATTTCTTTGGTTAATAATGACATTTTACTATATATATATATATATTACTTCTGAATAGAGGTTAAGCATGTGAAGCTTACTCCAATGGACTTGTTCACGTGCTACCAGCTAAAATTTGTCCGTTTAAGTTTCTTTTGAGGTTTTTTTTTTTTTTAGATTGTGGTGAAATGATTGGCTGATTAAGAATTTTAATACTGATGAAATGAACATTGGGTACCAGGGGCTACTTGCACCAAAAAGAATATTAATATTTCTTCTTCTTTTTTTCAATTTTTTAAAATATTATTGGGTTGTGCTACTCTGTTATTTCTAGTCTTGATTAACAGCATTATCAAAGTCAATTCCAAAATTAGATTAAAAAAATGAACCCCGAGATTTATTCCATGTTTCAATCTGAAATGTCATAAGTGGTTAATTAATCAAATATGTGTGTTTTTATTCGTAATTACATGCCTTATAACCATAACATTTTGAGTAGGCCATCATTACATTACATATGAAATATGCAAACCTGTAATATAATAAGAACTTTTGGGCATTGATGTTTGATGCCATCTTATCTGTATAAAATAATCTTAGTTATGTATGTCGTAGATGGATTCCCAAAGTCAGGTTAGAGAAGAAATAGTTCGAATCAGCATTATATTTACTAGATGTTTTGGGATCTTGTATACATGCGAAGGTGGCATTGGATATATGCAGTTCTTGATGTCGGTTTTCTTTAATTTAAACATTATCAAGGTGGTTTTGGCCATTGGAATCATAATCGGATTTTTTGGTTTGACCACTGGACCCATGGTTGGACTGACCTAGTGACCCTACCCAAATCTCTGCTAGCATCAACCTCCGGTGCTATATATTTTTGAACTTTATGAATGGTAGAATTCTCCAAGGAGCTCGATAAAATTTGGTTAAATCAATAAAGTATAAGCCAATACAATTTCAGCCTAACCTGAACGAGGCTCGATCAAGTGACCTTTGCAAAATCAATTGGGTCAGTGTCCAGTGCCACTGCTGGAGAGTAAATTGGACTGCCCAAACGTAAAAGGCCAATATCTGCCAAACCAAGTGGCCTAATTGGCAATTCCCCAACGGCCTGCCCTACTAATTTTGCTCACATTGTGAGGTGGCAAGAAGCTAGAACAGCATTCTGATTGACACTCTTGCTCTTTTTTGAGCCATGATATTTTGGTCTTTTCCTTCACCTTTCATATTTTTCCCTTTTCATATTGCATGAAGGTAGGTGTCCATGGCTGCAGATTCAAGAAAACGCACATTGGAGGCTTTGGAGAGAAGATTTGCTGTTGCCAAAGCCGAACTTCTCCTAAAAGAAAAGAAAAACAAAAAGACCATAGATGAAGATGTGAAACCACCTATTCCTGCTGTCTCTACATCTAATGATTCTTCCTTGCATTTACGCCGTCCATCGTCAGAAACACCCAAGAAAGGTAATTCAACTTTCAATTTTTAGGTCTTTGTTATTTTCATCTTGAGAGCCAGTAAATAATTTATCACAGTATAGAATGTTTCCCTCACACATGTTATTTTTCCTTGTATCATGAATACTTCATGTCTTATGAAGTATTTTATCTTCTGCTATTAAGGGTAAGGCTGTGTACAAGGATTTCCTCCACTCCACACTCGCTAGTCGGGTTTAACGGGGAGTGGTTTTTTTTTTTTATTGTTTTTTATGTGATACATTTGCAACCTGTCCGTTTGGCCAGGAAAAGTGTAAGATTTTATTTTTTTATTGTTAATGTAAGAATTCTGCATTATGATATGTGCATTTGTAAGTATCTTGTTTGACATTTAGCTGATACTTTTTATTTTGTCCTTTTAGGGAATTTCAGTTTCTCTGGTCATGCCACTTTGCAAGGTACTAGATAGTCAATGTAATACTACCCTTTCATATTTAAGATTCTATCTTTTGTATTTTCTTAATTTTCATTTTTGAAGGTTTTGTGCAAATTATAACTCCAATTTACATGGACAAAATTAAGTTAATATTTATTTGCAGACATTGAAGAAGGTGGTCCAGCATATGCCCAACTTTCTCTGCCTGTAAACGAAAATCTGCTTACAACTAATGAGGAGGTATTTTAACTTTTTATTTTTTGCTTGGAACTCATGTAATGGCCAAGAATAATATAAAACCAAATTGAAGGATTTTATTATCAAATTTTCCATTGTAATTCTATGTAGTCAATGACTCAATAATTAATCTCCTCTGAAGCCTGAACACTAAAAAATAATCATTGATGCAAAGAGTAATTTATGGGTCTTAAAAGCAGCCTTTTAACCTATTCACAGCTACAGAAAGCTGCAAAATGAAGGCCCCTGCAGTCCTGCACCCTATCTAACCAAAACGTGAAAGTTTCTTTATCTTCATTTTTGAATATATATGTTTTCCCATTACTAAATAAAGTTGTTAAATTTTCTTTATCCTTAGATTTCAAATATGATATATTTGCCTATTTTTTCTCCACTGGCTTATTCTGCAGTTGTCTGCTGAAAGAGAAGGTTCAATTGATAGCATATTGCACGAGCTTCTTCAGAAAGGAGATTCAGCCCAAAGGTACATGCAAGGATCTAGAAGCATGAAAATTGACAACTGGATCCTTCTTGATAATTATGTACATGGACGTGCGCTATCTTCTGGTTCTCAAACTAGAGCTTTGCGAATTCATTCAAAACGCTCTAAGAAACACATGTCTATGAAACAGCATAAAAAGCATGGATCATTAGATCTTCCTCAAGAATTTCATAAGTAAGTTTAGTGTCTCTAAAATACACTTCTTGGGAGTCTATCCATCCCTATTGTTATGGCTCTAGCACTGCAATTGTGGTATTGTATATTCTTTTAAGGAGTATTTTCATTTCACCTTGTGTTTGGGGATTCTGAGTTTCATGCTAGGGACAAATAATATATATCATTATAGTATCTTAATGTGTCATAAGATAATCTCATAGGATTGGTTTTCATATTTCCTTATATTTCATGTTTTATTTCTTTATTTAATTAAGATCAAGGGTCTACTATTAGTATAAATGGGGGTTAGTTCTTGTATTTTGCAACACATTACACATCCTTCATGCCAATATCATTATAATTGTATTATTCTGAGTATCTCTTTTCTCTGTGTTTTTCCTTCCTTACCTAAATCCCTATAATTTTCTACAATAAAACATGTTTTATTCTAATTGGTTATTTTTTCTACAATGGTAATCTTTTTGTTCCCTAATAATTGTTCACTTTGTTTACAGATTCGATATTTTCAAGCCAATGCATGAAATGTGGAAAGATTATATAATGCAGCTTCTTAAATCCACTGGGTACTTTTTTTTATCTTTGCCATTGATGGATTTCACAGTTTCTTATCTTCAAGTTGTAAGCAAGGAGAGGAAGAAAAAAATGATTTTAATCATTTATACTTGTCTCCTCATATGGCTTTTATAACCATGAATTGGTTAATATTCCAGGAAAAATCAATTGGCTCAATGTCTCCTTGGTGCGGATCTACATGGTGCTATTATTTTAGGTCCGAGCACACTTTTTTTACTTTTAAATGAGTTACGAATACCTATGATAATCTCACTATCAGAAATGCGAAAACAGTTTCCATACCTGGTCCTGTTCTTTTCACTTTTGAGCTGATGAATGTTTCCATACCTGGTGTTGTATTTATTTTCCCAAATATGTTTTTGTCTTTCATGTGCATAGAAAGTTGTGTTATAATTGCTGTTGCTGATGAACTTGAATCATGAAAGCCTATTTTTTGGGTTTCTTAGAAAGACCTAATGATGTTGAGTAGAAGTAGTTGCATGCAATCATTATGTTTATATCATGGCAATAAGTTCAATAATAAAGATGAGGTGCTGATTGGTTCAGGCTACAGACATAGCGCTTGTTCTTCTTCCCCAAGAATGGTTCTCTGATTTGAACCCTCTGTTTCCCTCCCCTGCCTCTGAGATCCCCACTGGCCTACATAATCTTTTTCATGTGTTTTAGGCCTTTAAGTAAATCAATTTTTTAGGCCTTGAATTTCTATGGTAAGAGCTGTTTAATATTAGTGTATTAAAAATTTCCTATAGCCCAACATACTTGATCTTTTCAATTTTGCAAAACAGTTGGACTTTTGAGACTCCTACAAAAAAAATAAATTTTTTTTGCCTCTATCTCCTCTATATTATCTGATTGTTACCACTGATTGTACTATTTCCATCTATGTTTTGCAGTTGTGGAGTGTAAAATAACTCATTTTACTGGAATTTCTGGCATTATGATTCGTGAAACTGCAGAAGCATTTGGGATAATTACTGAAGACAATAAATTCCGAGGTAATCCTTCTACTATTTAAAAATAGAAATTAGTCTAGGATTGTTAGAGCTGTTATTCTTGTGTTTCATAAATATTAATGGTTATATGAACGTACACAGTTATTTGTGTATGCTTTTCTTAAATTTTACTAGTAATTGCTGTGCAAGTGTGACACTTCATTAATTATAAGGAATTGGTACTTGTGTTTTGAAACTTTTAACATAAATTTTAAAATGAACGGTTTGTAAGTTTTTATTCAAATTAAGAGGAACAATGAATTGCATTCAATTCATTCAGTTTCTCTTAAAATGGAACTTGCAAACACAGAAAAATGCAACTTTTAAGTTTGAATGACACGAGAAATTTCTGATTTGCTTAAATTAAGAAGATTTTGTCTATGATGGGCTTTGAACTTTCAGTTTCAAGCTTCCACTTTCCTGACTGTGTACCGAGCCCGTATCGTAATCATTCTCGTAAAATGTAGTGTGGCTGAGATTCTTGTTGAGTCCTGTTAGATTGTCCCTTTAGGTATATATCCTTGGTATTCTGTAGGGAAACCTGGAAAGCTTTTCCAACAAGAAACCAGATTTGCTGCTGATAATAGGTTTTGTACAAGATTTGAAGCTGTTTTCGAGCAAAACATTTCTGTTTCTAATTTAACACTGAAAATTGGCTTTTGGATTCTTACCAGCAACACCCAAGCAAAACAATTTTGCTCACAGTAGTTTCTAAATTACATTTCAAGTTGAACGTTAACCTCCTAACCTTTGTGTGGAGGGTAGAATCCTCCAGTGTTTTAATTAGACCAAAAACTCATTTGCTCTCTTTTTACAGCCAATTAAATTGTGCGGTATTTGAGTAATTCTGTCATAAGATAAATATCCACTTTTACTAAGAAAATTAAATAGGTTTTAATTTACTTTCACATGTACACACTCTCTCTCTCTCTCTCTCTCTCTCTCTCTCTCTCTCATACTGAGAATTCCTAATAGGTTCCTATGTGTCTCTTACATCATTGTGAATGAGCTGATTAAGAAATAGGAACCTTCACCATCACCTAGTCTTTGGTTTGTTGGCTATAAAGATGAAGTTGTGTTGATTTATCTATTCTGGGATTTCTCTCTCTCTCACTCTTTTCTTTGTTTCTTTTTTTAATTTTTTTTTTTAACACTTTACCTATTCAAACTTTTGATGACCAAATACTTACTTTCGACTCGGTAACTTGCAGTTGTTCCCAAAAAGGTTTCTGTATTTGTATTCCAAGTTGATTGTTGGAAAGTCACTCTGCACGGAGATAAACTCGGTTCAAGAAAGGTTGCATTATGATACCAGTGATGATCCTTCAAATGTAGGTAACATCTTCATCCTATTAGGGCCATTTTTTAGTATGGTACTTCATCTTCTTATTAAGGGAACCTTGCTAGTTGTTATTGCCATCTTGGGCTGATTGGATCTTGCCCCCATTTTAATAAAAAATTATCATTTTACCTCTTTTTTCGAATTATATATATTAATTTGCCTCTATTTGACTAAAGTTTGACTCACCCTTGCTCATTTACTCGAGCAAATGACTTACCAAGGACTAGGATTTGATCAAACTTTAGTCAAATAGGAGCAGATTTATATGTAGTTTAAGAAAATAGACAAAGTGGTAAATTGATTTTAAAAGAGGGGTAAAATGGTCAATCAGCATCATCTTGTGGTTTCTATAATCTCACTATTAAGAAAGGTTTTTATGTTGATTTTCTTACTATTAAGATGAACAGAATATCCATGTAAGTAACGCTTGTGCATTTTGAAAGTCTCAAGTTATCTACGGGAGAGAGTAAGAATGTTTGAATGCTGAATTATATCATTATAATTAGAGGCAGGGGGAGTTTGCTTTGAAATTATTGGCAGCAAGGTAAACAACGATAGCCTTGACTTATATCATTATAGAAGCAGGACGAGTTTGCTTTAATTAATATTATTGGCAAGAAGGTAAATGACGATGACCTTGACCAGTGGCGGATCCAGAATTTTTTTTTTTTATGTGTGCACACTTAGTGGCGGGTGTTGCCTCCCAAAAATTAATTTTAAAGAACTTTTTAAATGCATTAAAAAATAAAAGAATATAAACAAGAAGAGAAAAATAAACTATTCACATATATCAAACTTTGCTATTTCAAGCTATTTTACGCATATTTCATTTTTTATAAATGCTATTTCAAGTTAGAGTAAAGTACTTTTTGGACCCTCAACAAATATCACGGAACCCAATTTAATCTCTTAGAAAAAAAAAATCACTTGTAATCCCTCTGAAATTCAGAATAGACCTACGTTATTCCTTTTGTGGGACTAACGTGGGTCTTATTCAGAGGGACCACGATTTCGATTAACTGTGTCTATTTTGAATTTCAGAATGATCACAAGTCGACTTTTTTTCCCTAAGGAAATAAAATGGGCCCTGTGACTTTTGTTGAGGACCTAAAAAGTACTTTACACTTCAAGCTATTTTCAAAGAATTTTTTTTTTTTTTTGTGTTTGCACTTGCACACATAAGCAACCATGTAGGTCTGCCAATGGCCTTGACTGTATATGGGGGCATTGTATGACGCCCACCGTGATGTATTTGCTAGCCTTTTATTATGGTTTTTGGAGCCTTGAAACTTGTTCCCAAGCAACAAAAATATTGGTGTTTTATGCTAGTTCTATAGCTTTTCTGACCAAAGTTAGAGCGCCCTTGGCACTGCTGGTGTTATACTAGAATGATACCATAGATAAGTCTCATTGTGGAGCTTGGTCCCACTAGCTACAAGATTGCTCTTTTTTTGTCGTGGGAACTTGACACTTCATTCCTTTGTGTATGATTCTTTCTTTTTGGCATGCTGGCACCTAATGGTTAGGGAACTGTTAATTTCCCTAGGATTTTCCGATTTGCTTGTATAGAATATCCAATTGCATGCATGTGTCTCTAATCATAAATGTTCAGGAGGGTAATGAAACATTGCTGATATAATATTTTTTCAACCTCGTGTTGAAATAAAATAAAATGCAATGCTATACCACAGATATAATGATCTTTTTTCTTATCTTGTTTTGAATTTAAAATGATTTAGGTTCGTACTATGTTCCCTGCATGGTATATTTGTATTCCATTTAAGACTTTTACAAAAGATCAAGTTGTCAAGTATATTCGGTTTTAATCTTTAATTTTGATTTGTGTGCAGCATTAATACAGTTAAATATGATGTCGGCAACTTAGAATTCCTGGTTACATTCTGACACATTGATAACTCTTGCGGATATTTTTGTAGGGGAAGGCTGGTCATGAAAAAAATCACTATCCACTGCTCTGGATTTGAGGCAGATATTCATTTTCGCATGAATGTTTCACGTTGACATCCGGAAGCAATTTGACCACTAACTGAAGTGGACTATATAACAGAAGTGAGCATTCTGCCCTGCACTAAAATGATGAACAGCACTGGAAATGTTTCTTTTTCTCAAAAGCTCAAGTTAATTATTTAAGTCCGACTTTTTTACTGGTGAGCCACGCCTGAATTTGTTTGAGGGTAAATTAGAGAAAGTCTCCGAGGAACAGCAGGGGATAATGTGATGAGTTATATTATAGGTACCAAAGTAAATTTCATTTTTTAACAACAAATGAAGTAATTTTAATTTTGCTTATATTCACTCAATCCAATAATGTGTGTATTTTTAAGGTTGATTAAGCTGTAGATAAATTGTCCACTCGTCTATCATTCACTTTCAAAAGTAATTTAATATGTGGTTGTTTTATATTTTATATTATATTTCTCTAACACGTTTCATAACGCTAGAATCTTTTGGGTTAGATATTGCAGAAGCTAATTTTTTTGGTCCTATCTTGTGATATTAATTTCACTAGAAAGTGGAGAATAATGAGAATCAAATTTGTGATCCCATGGTACCTTTGGTTTCTATACCATGATAAGTAATCAATTCAACTTAATAATTTAAGCTTTTTAAGTGAGGGGGTTTTATAGTATATCTCTATGACGTCTGGCCGTATTAAAAATCAATGACTATCCTCACATACTAACATAAGATTTTTTAGTGTATTTTTTTCTCACTCGCACATTTCTTGAAAAATTTCCTCAGTAGGTCACCTATCTCAGAATTACTGCAAGTCAAACACATTTAATTATGGAGTTCTTCCGTTCTGGGTTATCAAAAAATAGATGCGTCTTGTTAGTATAAGTAATACCAATTAATTTTTATAAATTATCTTCAACTGTGCAGTTTCATACTTGCATAGTCTTTGGAATCCCTCTTTTTCGGGTGTCGATTCGATTCATTCATGTACTCCCCGTTAGAAACCTGTCAGGAGTCGCCGCTCTTTGTCCATGTCTTTTTGCATCGACGATCACTCTCCGCCCTCGTGAGTGCTCGAGATGTTACAATCTCTTTTTAATAAACAACAAGAAAATGCAACCAAAATAATGACAAAAAAGTATTTATGTGACAGCAAATGCGGTTATCCAACATATTCTTCGAATCAAGTTTAAAGCCATCATATTTTAAATTTGCTTAAAAATACATTATTTTACCAAGAATCCTCAACCCCAGTACAACCCATAAAAATTATTTACATTTTTGTTCTCGAACGAATGATTTAGATTCTTACTTCAACAACATCGCCATCTTTGAGTTCCGTATTGGGCAGTACTGACTGTCCATTAATCAAAACCAGCTTTCCCTCCAAACCAGCTCTATGAGCAGCATCAGAAGCAGTGCTACCAGCTTTTAACCTCATAATTTCACCATGAGGCCAACATATAATTACCACTTCTCCAAGGTTAAGAGAACTAGGAAGATCATAAAGCTTTTCGCCATGCTTTGTTTGCTTGATACCTACCTCAGAGCGCAATTGCTCTTCCCAGGAAAGCATTGTTCTCAAAAGATGCACCTAAAAGATGAATATATACAGAATCACTGAAACATTCATTGACATTTCACAAATCTATGGAATAACGGGGGGAAGACTGAAAAATAAAATATCCCACTTTCAGTTTGCATGGTGGCAGTCTGGCAGATAAACATAATACCACAATTTAGCAAACTATGCATATTCCACAAACTGATTTGTACCATCTTAGTTGCATTTAAAATTTTAAATTTGCAACTATTATCATAACCAAAAATATAATAATGATCTGCAACATAATCTAGGAGCAAATTTCAGAGCAGTTGGTGAGTGGTCAATTTCGCTGACCAATTTAAGGGACAAGAAGAATCAAGATAAAGATTGTTCTCATGGAGCCACTATAACCAATTACATAGTATGTGATAAAGAATAAAGTAGCATAATTCTCGTACTATTTGAGTGGCAAAGATTTTTGACACGCAAAGAAACAGAAGTGAACAAAGATAAGCAATTTCCATTTGTACAATGTGCCTAAGAGAGACAAGTTGGGAGCCATAAAACCTTGTTATTGATGCTAGCTTCCACAGAAGTTGATGCCACCAAGTCAAATTTTGACCGAGATGTAATATAATCCACTTGCTTGCCCTCAAACACAGCAGATACAACAGCCCAGTATTCAGATTCTTCTTGATCAATAAAATTGATAACTTGGATGAATGTTGGCAGTAGGCGCCCAAATTGATCTTGCTGCGAATGATGCAAATAATTAAATAAGTTCTTCCAAAAAGCAGTCTGAGAATTTACAACCACGTCACTGGTTCTAAGAAATTGAAAGCAGCATGTTTATTAGCATTACAAAGTTTTACTCAGCATGAACTTCATTTAGATGTTTATGTTTATAATGAGTTTAATTTGATGCACTATTAGGTAAAGAAGTTTTACTCTGTCATCCAATGATGTGTTGCCACATCCTTTAATGAGTTTAATAACATGCATCAGTTGAATTCTAATAATATGGCCAAGATTTCCAATTTTCAAAAACAACCATTGTACGCGTCGTGTAGCTTTTGTAACATCGTACAGGCTAACTAAACGAACCACTATCTTTAAAGCACGACATAAAATGATAAAGGACGACATAACTAATGAAAATTCCAAAAATTGACAGAAGTACCTACATGCCAGTACCATATTATTTAAGTACAGGAATATAATTTTGTTTAATTCTAAAACATCCCCACTCCATTTGATTGAAATCTGATTTTCTAGACCCTCAGAGGACACGAACCATTTTTCCTCAATTGCTCTTTGCAATTATGCAAAGGTAAGGCTGCGTACAAGGATTTTCTCCACCCCACACTCGCTAGTCGGGTTTAACGGGGAGTGGTTTAGAAGTATCCAATCCTTACATATTATCTGCTAAACAACATAAAAGAATAAGTTCTCCCACACAAATTTGCTGGATTACGTCGCACTTAGTGGTCAAAGTTAAGCCTTAATTTGATCCCTTAAAGTCTATCCAAAATGTATATAGTTTCTCTGTAGCAGTTACTACACAGCACATACATTTCCAACACAAGGTCAATCATTAAGAACTAGAATACAGTTAAAGTACACAAGACAAATACGCATATCTAAACAAGAAGAAATACAATGAAAAATTCTCCAGCATGTGTATGTTACTATCTCTACGTTGCTGATAAACAAAAATAATGAAAACTAAAGGGAAGTATATACTTTTATATTCTCAACGGCTCAGAGAAACGTACCTTGTGATACATACCATCTCGACATAGTGTGTACTTCTCTAGACAAGTACACCAATCCCCATGTCCTGGTTCAAACCACCATTCATCAGATACCTGACACAGATCAACAGTTAGCAGCCTAAGCAGGTAATATAAAATAATCAAAGGAAAAGATGACACAACGGCAGAGGCCGGTGGCAGAGAGCTTGGTAAGCTGAACCAACTCCTATACAGTGATCCATCCAGGCATTGCCTTCTTAGTGAGCGTCATCAGTTAATTCGTATCCTTTCCACAAACCATTCACCACAAGCCATCTACACTCAAATTTAAGCAGCAAACCTTTTTATATAGTCGTGCATAAGCTTCCCATCGCTTAATCTGGAAAGAAGATCTTCTGTCAGCTACTGCTTCAGAAGCTGATAATCCGAAGCTCACAGCAACTAGCAATTCTTTTTCATCCTTTTCTACACTGAAAAAGTAATAAAAATTCACGAGCTACAATTAGTATCGATAGCTTTATAACATAACATCCATTAGAAATGAAAGTGTTCCGAACCTGATGATAACAGCAGCAAGTAAGTGACTTCCTTCTACTCTGAGGACTGGATGTCCAACCTTCAATGACTTATATTTACTTAATAAAATATCTGCGGAATTTTCATCTTCTATATCTTTGGGGAAATAGGAAGATGATTCTGTTTCAGGATCATCCATGTTGTCAATGGATGAAAAAGGATTTCCAGTTTCCTTATAAAGCCAATGTGCAGCAAGTCCATGTTCAGCATAGTCATGCATCCTCTAGTAAGCAAAATGATAACTGAAAACATCAAGAACTAAAGTATGAACAAGTAACGTCTCCAACATATGCGAAATAATTTAGCACCTGCGTTCTTATTTGTACTTCTAATGGTGAATTGTCGGGACCTGGAACTGCAGTGTGCAAGGACTGCAATTTTAAAACGTTGATACAGTAATGAGCACAATTCCTAAGATTAGAAGAACAAGATGATCATTTTAATTTTATACCATAAAAATATGAACCAGAAAGCCTAACCTGATAGCCACTAGGCTTTGGATTAATGATGTAGTCATCAAATTCACCATCTATGGGAGTCCAAAGCCTGTATGGTAAAATATGCATATCAATTAAGAGCAAATATCTGGAGCCAATAGGATTAATGAAGTTAAAAAGATGCCTAAGATTTATAGGTTTAACCTTTCACTCTTAAAGAATGAAGACATTTTCACCAAAATAACTGAAAAGGATAAAAGAATGGAAGATATAAAAGAGGACATTTTCCGTTGATGTGTTGTTTTCATGGTTTCCTCTCTTGTAGGATAACTTATCCTCCTCTGCTCCTGTGCTTTTGTTTTCTGTTCTCTGGATTTCTTTCCTTATAATTTTAAAAAAATAAAGAAAAATCTACCAATACATAGCAGTGGTAGTGCTGCACAAAAGGTCAATTAGATAACATATAGTAATTGTTAAGTTAGTTTTCAATTCTGTTCAGTTTGTTTTGAGTCTGTAACTGAATTAGTTAGCCTAGTTTAGTTTCCTTTCTGATATGCTATAAATAGACTTTTGTATAGTCTTTATAATTTAATATATTCATTCTATCAATTTCTCTCACATTGAGAGATCTCACAGATATTTTCTCTCTCTCTTGAATCTTCCCTGTGCTTGAGATCCTGTGCCAAATACCTTTATGGTATCATCGCCATCGATCCATGGCAACCTCTGCTTCCGCTCCCACTCTACACACCTTCTCCAACCCTGTTTCGTTCAAACTTGATGAAACGAATTTCCTACCATGGAAACAACAGGCTCTTGCAACTATTCGAGGATTCAAGCTTCAACAACTTCTTGATGCACCTCCAAGCTCAGATCTTGATGAATCTGAGTCGCTATGGCAGCAACAAGATCAACTACTCATGTCCTGGTTACTTTCCTCCATGTCTGAAGCTCTCTACACCAGAATGGTAGGATGCACCTCCTTCTCTCATATCTGGGAGAAACTAGAGGAATTTTTTGCGTCACAAACGCGTGCAAAAATCAAACAGCTCAAACAACAGCTGAAATCAACAAAGAAAGAGGGACCAATTTCTGGTTACCTACTCAAGATCAAGAAAATCGTGGACTCTCTTGCTGCCACTGGATCTTCTGTGAGCTCTGAAGATCATATTGATGCCATTCTTGATGGCTTGAATGAGGACTATGATCCTTTCGTAGTCTCAGTCACATCAAGAACCGATCCATACACAGTAACAGAAATGGAGGCTCAGTTAATGGCTCAAGAAGAAAGAATTGAAAAGCGATCCAAGACTGAGCTAACTGTCTTGCAAGCTCATGTTGCACAAATGCAATTTAGAAAACCTAATGCTCAAGGTTTTAACCGTGGAGGTTCTTCCTACTTCAATCGTGGTGGTGGTTTTTCCCAAAGAGGAAGACAGAACCGAGGAGCTCGCTCAAACAATTTCAATGGCAGACTGTACTGTCAAGTATGTGGCAAGCCAGGTCACATTGCCTGGAATTGCTATCACAGGTATAACCAGGACTATCCAAATCCCACTGAGCAAGTCAAGAATGACAAGTTTACTCCTCAGAACTCACAGATTCAAGCTAATGTTGCTATGACTGGATCTGCTGAGCAAGATACTCCAACTGAGAATACAACTGACTACTTCTCTGTATTTGACCAAGCTTGGTACCCTGACTCAGGCGCAACCAATCATCTCACTCCTAGTGCTGGTAATCTCTTATCCAAAACAAAGTATAAAGGTCAAGAATCTGTTCAAATAGGCAATGGATCTTGTATGAAAATAAAGCACAGTGGTCACACTATTTTACACTCACCATCCAACTCATTATCCTTTACTTTACCTAATCTTCTACATGTTCCTGGTCTTTCAAAAAATCTTCTAAGTGTCTCGCAGTTTACTAAAGATCACAATGTATTTTTTGAATTTCATCCTAATCATTGTGTTGTTAAATCTCAGGCAAGCAAGGAGATCCTTCTTCAAGGAACACTTAAGAATGGTCTCTATGCATTTGAGGGTGTCAAAATCCCAACTCATACTGCCTTTACTGCTGTTTCTGTTCAAAATAAAAATGTATCCCACTCCACAGTGGTTGATTCTGTCACTTGCAAAATAGATAGCAAGTTGTCCTTATGGCATGCACGTTTAGGTCATGCTTCACTCAGCACTGTAAAAAGTGTATTGAATCATTGTAATATTTCATTCCAAAATAATAAAACTCCTTTTACCTGTTGTGCTTGTTGTATGGGTAAAATGCATCAATTGCCCTTTCCAGCTTCAACTCATGTTTATACAAAACCTCTGGAATTAATATTTTCTGATATATGGGGTCCTGCTCCCATTACTAGCACCACTGGCTCTAGATATTACATTGTCTTTGTTGATGCTTTCAGCAAATTTACTTGGTTATATCCTATATCTACAAAGAGTCAAGCTCTTCCTGTTTTTGTTGCATTCAAAACTATGGCTGAATTGCAATTCAGCACTAAAGTCAAATCTATCCAAACCGATAATGCAAAAGAATATCTAGCCTTTGATAACTACCTCCAACAAAATGGCATAGTTCATAGACTCACTTGTCCATACACTCATCAACAAAATGGTACCCCTGAGAGAAAACACAGGCACATAGTTGAAACTAGCCTATCTCTCCTTGCTGCTTCCTCTCTCCCTCAACAATATTGGGAAGATGCATTTCTCACAGCAACCTATATCATCAATAGGCTTCCTACACCTACATTGCACAATACCTCTCCTTATGCCATACTGCTTCAAAAGGAACCTGATTACACACTTATGAGAACCTTTGGTTGTGCTTGTTACCCTCACCTAAGGCCCTACAATAAACACAAACTTGATTTTCGCTCAATCCAATGCACATTCCTTGGCTACAGTCCCAACCATAAGGGTTACAAATGCCTCTCATCTGAAGGTAAAATATTTGTTGCAAGAAATGTTGTTTTTGATGAATTTATGTTTCCCTTTACCCAAACAGTCACCAAAAATATTGTGTCTTCTTCTTCTGAACCATCACATGTACCTATAATTCCTAAAGTAACTATCTCACCTTCCTCTCAACTCACATCCATACCCACTACATGTGCTGAGGTCACTACAGATTCTGTTTTGCCTATTTCTAACAGTTCTTGCAGGTTATCTACTGGTGAGACATCAGAGTCTCTTTTACCTGCTACAGCACCTACCTCTCAACCCAACAATAATCATCATATGCTCACTAGAGCCAAGACTGGTGTCTTTAAACCCAAGGCCTTCACTGCTTCTGTTGAACCTACCTCAGTTGCAAAGGCTATGACTCAACCTCAATGGCTGCAGGCCATGAAAGATGAATATGAAGCACTTCAAAGAAATAATACCTGGCAGCTTGTACCTCTGCCATCAGACTGCACCCCCATTGGATGTAAATGGGTGTTCAGGACCAAATACAATCCAGATGGGTCTATCTCCAAGCATAAAGCTCGCCTAGTAGCTAAAGGTTTTCATCAAAGAGAAGGTCTAGACTATGTAGAAGCCTTCAGCCCTGTGGTTAAACCTGCTACTGTCAGAATTATCCTCACAATAGCTCTCTCTCGGCAGTGGCCAATTCACCAATTGGATGTGAATAATGCTTTCTTAAATGGAGACCTTCATGAGACTGTTTATATGCAGCAGCCTCCAGGCTTTACTACAGGTGATAAAACAACTGTTTGCCGCCTCACCAAGGCACTTTATGGTCTCAAACAAGCCCCTCGTGCTTGGTTTGAGAAACTCAGTTTCACTTTGGGTCACCTAGGATTTGCCTCTACAAAGTGTGACTCATCACTCTTCATCAAAATCACATCCACAACAACCATCTATGTTTTGGTCTATGTGGATGACATCCTCATCACTGGCTCCTCACCTACTGCCATTACATCACTCATTACTAATCTCAACTCAGCCTTTGCTCTCAAGGATTTAGGCCAGCTTCACTATTTTCTTGGTATTGAAGCACAAAAAGACTCCTCAGGTACACTGCATCTCAGTCAAGCAAAGTATATTGCTGACTTACTCAAAAAGGCAAACATGAGTGATTGCAAACCAATGCCAACTCCTATGTCTTCAAGTATAAAACTATCTTCTAGAGATGGCACTGCCTTTCATGATCCCTCTCTCTATCGGTCCATAGTTGGAGCCTTACAATATGCTACAGTAACTAGACCTGACATATCCTTCTCTGTCAACAAGGTATGTCAGTTCATGCATGCTCCTCTTGACACTCATTGGAAGGCAGTTAAACGAATTTTACGGTATCTACATGGCACAAGTTCTCTAGGACTTACCATTTCTCCTTCTTCTCACTTTCACATCTCAGCCTATTGTGACAGTGACTGGGGATCTGATATTGATGACCGTAGGTCCACATCTGGTTACTGTATCTTTCTTGGTAACAATTTAATTAATTGGTCCTGCAAAAAGCAAGCTGTGGTAAGTCGCTCAAGTACTGAGGCTGAGTATAGATGTCTTGCAGCCACCATTGCTGAACTTGCTTGGCTCAAATCTTTATTGTCTGAGTTGCTTATCTCCACTCCAGGAACACCTACAGTTTATTGTGATAACCTAAGTGCAGTGCAACTGGCAGCAAATCCCCTTTTTCATTCCAGAACAAAGCATTTTGAACCGGATCTCTATTTTGTTCGCGAAAAGGTTATGGCAAAACACCTCACTGTTCATCATATACCTTCAGTGGATCAGATAGCAGATGGCTTCACCAAGGCTGTCTCCAGGCCTAATTTTCTCAATTTTTGTTCCAAGCTCAAGCTTTCCACCTCTTCCAGCCTTGAGCTTGCGGGGGGATGATAACATATAGTAATTGTTAAGTTAGTTTTCAATTCTGTTCAGTTTGTTTTGAGTCTGTAACTGAATTAGTTAGCCTAGTTTAGTTTCCTTTCTGATATGCTATAAATAGACTTTTGTATAGTCTTTATAATTTAATATATTCATTCTATCAATTTCTCTCACATTGAGAGATCTCACAGATATTTTCTCTCTCTCTTGAATCTTCCCTGTGCTTGAGATCCTGTGCCAAATACCTTTAAAGCTTATATCTATATCTTCGTACAGATGATTTTATTGAATGACTTGTGTTTTGGTTATATGATTGAAGGAAGACTGAAATTTGACCTATACCTGTGTACAATGTCAAGGAGACTGTAGCAACACTGAACTGCAGGCCCACGTAAAGTTCCATTCTTGTCTCCCACAACTACTCTTAATGCACGTGCATCATATACTTTATCAATGCTTATATCCTTTCGTTTCATCTGCACAACATACAATCGTGACTTTGACCATTAAATTGATTAATACGAAGTACCTCCACAAAAATTTAAAATCACTAGTGCTAATATTGCTCAACGGGAAAGAAAAACATTTAAGGCTAGCTTTATAATATTATGCCATTAAGATTTCAAGGGAGCCATGGAACTTACAGAAATTCTTTTTATGAACAAGGTTTCTTACATAAACTTTCCACCTATGCATCGTTATTCGCTAGCGTTATGCTCTATTCAAACTATTACCTGGATAACCTATAATTAACTCTTCAAATAGTGCCACAGTTCTACACACTTGTAGAGTGAGCATAGCTACAACACATGGACGTTCATTCTTATTTCAAAGGTCAAGACATGAATTTGCCGATACCTTACTGTATAAACTATACAGGCTTTTTAATCGGCTTGATAATGTAACTTCCATTCCTGGAACGTAACTGCAAATACAGCAGGAAACTTTTTAAGAACTACAAAATTGATTATACAATAGCATTATAGTAGATAGCACATGTATAGTGCCTCATAAAACACAAACATAAAGTAAAGCATCCAAGTGTCATGGACAATATCAGAATGTCAAAGTCGTAAATGATAATAGACAAAAAGAACATACGAAGCTGACATAATCAATTCTCGCTCAAGTGCTTCCTCACAAATTACCAATGATGCCAAAGCTAACCCAGCATCCTGAACAACCTTTGGTTTCATTCGTGTCTCCAGATTATTCCCAATACTACTGAGAAAGTTAGCCCGTTTTCTCCGATCCAACAATATATCAAATGGAACTACAGCTTCCAAAAGATCCTGTGTAAAATAAAATTAGTAACTTAATTAGAATGAAAAATTTGTTCTCACCCTTTCCCAGGACTTGGTCAAGTAAGAAGATGGAATATTGCCTCAGTGATTACTTTCAACTATCAATCATGAACGTCTCAGACATCAGGAAAAATGCTTACCAAAGAGTCACTTGAGATAGCCAACTAAACTTATCTTTTTAAACCTTTTGCAACCATAAAATACTTGGAACCAGATATGGATAATCACAAAAGGACTTTAAAAATTGTGATTGATCAGCCTTCTGTCATACTTCAAATTTATTCATTCTTTTTATGGGTTGCATGAGGTGTAATAGGAGCAAGTAAAAATAACATCACTTCACAGTTTATACGCTTTTCAGTCTCCCTTCCCCCGGTCCCTCACCCATTCCCTTTTAAAAAATTTAGCTTAGCATATTCCGAACTTCATCACGTGTAATCAAGACAAGAATGCTGTATAAACAAACAGTATAACATTTTAATGATTTTTGCTCCTTGATATTAAGTGGTCAGGCTCAAAAGAAGCATTTTGGTGTCAATTGTTAGAGTTGCAATAAGTGCCAGTGTAACCCAGACAGTAACCACCAAAAGAAACCATAAAACTGCATTCAATCAAATCTCATTACCATACATACAAACAAGTAGAATGAACCTTTGCATTTAAAAATTCTTACCTTCACACTTGAGACATCCTCATTGAATGTCAAAGATTCATAGTAGAAAGAAGTTGAATTGTTCTCATCCCAAGGTACCATGTTGCCTTTTACAGAGATTCTTCTTGAGTTTCCTGTTCTGCTGGTAGGGCTCCACATGGAAGCCAGATCAGCTCGCATCTTTTGAAATATTTGAGGCTGGTAACAAGGTACAAATAGGTATAAGTGCAAACACATTGTAATAATGCCAAATTGTTAGAGTATAATATAAACCTTTAAAGAGGCCATCACCTAATAGCTTAAGCTTTTAGGTGACGACCTCTTTAATAGTTTATATTATACTCTGACATGTCCCCTCACACAAGAGTCCATTGGGCTTAAAGGGCGGATGATGCATCAGGCCCAGTCTACCTGTGCTAAGAAATTCCACAAGAGAAAATGGTGGTGGTTGTGACGGCAGTGGCTGCGATGATGGTGGTGGTTACGGTGGTAGTAGTGGAGATGGTGGTGACGGTAGTGGCTGCAACAATGGTAGTGGTGGTTGGTGGCGGCGACAATAGTGGTAGCGGTGGTATGGTGATGGTGATTGTAATGGCATCATGGTGGTGGTGGTGGTGGTGGTGGCGGCGGTGGCGGCGATGGCATGGTGGTGGTGGTGGTGGTAGTGATACGGTAGTGGCTGCGGCAATCGTAGTGGTGGTTGGTGACAGTGGTGGTGATGGTAGCGGTGGCGTCGTGATTGTGGTGGTAGTGGTGGCGATGGCATGGTGATGGCGATGTAGCGGTGGCGGGAGTGGTTGCGATGATGGTGGGGGTGGTTGATTGCGGTAGTGGTGATGGTGACAGTGATGGAAGTGGCAGCGGTGGTGGGGGTAATGATGGGTGGAGGTGGCATCGTGGTGGTGGGGTGGTGGTGACGATGACACTAGTGGTACTACGGTCGCGACAACGATGGTGACGGTGGTCGTGTCAGGATAATGGTGGTAGTGATGATGATGGTAGAGGTGAAAAGTGATTGATAGAGATAAGTGTTTCTCATTTTGTGCCCGGGAACAAAAAAATAGAAATTTTTTGATTCTTTTTTCTATTCTCAAGCACAAAAATTAAACCGATTCATCCCGGGAACAAAAAATAAACCGGTTTTATCAAACGAGTTTTCTATTCATTTCTGTGCCCGGGAACAGAAATTAAAAAAAAAATAAAAACTAATTCCGAGAAGGTTTTCATGCACACCCTATGTGTCTCATTTTCTCACATCATCAAATCAAAATAATTGATGACTCTCAAAGTGAAAGAAACATAGATACTATTACGAGACCTGTAGAACAGCAAAGCATAGATCTTCCAGTTCAGCTTTCAACGCCCACAGACCCAATCTTGAAGCAAGTGAACACCAAATAATTAAGGTCTCCTCTGCAACAGCTTGAGCTTTTTGCAATGGCAGAGCATAACTGCAAAGCAAAGGTAAGATTGTCAACCAGTAAAATGACCTATGCAACATAACTAAAACCTGCAAACTGTTTAGCCAAAAAGTTAAAAGCACTGTATCGCTTAAGGTTGTTGGTTAAAGATGGCTTCCATAGCAAGGAAGTAAACTTTCACAACTATTAACCATGAAGGATTGAGAAAACCGATAAGATTAAAATAATATTTCCTTCACCTTGAAAGAATAACAAGTCTGAAGTGTATAATACCCCGAACTTAAGCATTTAATTGATTAATTTTAATTAAATAATTAAGCATATTTTAGTGAGTAAAATTAAGTATAAGGCTTAATTAAATGAATCTGAGTCACTTGGAGTTAAAAAGTGTACTCAGTGAAAATTAAGGGGTATAAATGGGTACAGGCGAAAGTACCCAAAATATAAAAATAAAATAGTAATATTCCTAGAATAATATTCCAGACTTTTGGGTAAAGTTTGGTAATTAATGGAGTTGAATAGATAGACGAACCAATACCCGCTTAAAGTCACTTAACATAAGTTAAGTGACCAATGCAACAAAAGAAACCCAATTGTCCCTCCCCAACCCGTCGTGCAGAAGAGAGGAAAAGAAGAGAAGAAGGAGAAGAGGGGAAAAGGAAGAGGAAAGGAGAGGGAGAACCCTAGGTGGAGCAATCCTCAACCAAATCCATCCGTTCAAAAGCCTAAACCACTCTAAATCTTCTCCTCTTTCATAATCCAAGCTTAGTTTTGAGTGGGGAGCATTGTGGAGAGGGATATTGCCCCTCAAAAATTCGGCCCTTTGTGAGATTTTGGGGTTTTGGGGGTTTCAACCTCCATGGAAGCTTGAGGAACACTCATTCCTCTATTGTGTGATCATTGGTGGTAAGTTTCCACTCTCTTTCACATGATTCTTGGAGATTTGCATGAGTTTAGGGTTAATGAATAGTGTTTTAGGGTTTTTATGAAATGTTGAGTAGATTGGCTATGTTCAAGGAAGAATGAGGCTTAGAGTATGTTGTGAAAAATGCTAGGAATGACATTTAATCGGTAGAAATGAGTTTATAGTGTTATTTTAGTATGCTTTGATGTTTGGAGAAATCTAGGCTTGGAACTATGGATTTCCTTGCATTGTTAGCATTGTTTGATTGTATTCCTTGTGTTGATAGGATTGAGGCAAGAGGACCAAGTGGAGTGACCAACCCTTGGGGTTGTGTGCAATTGAGGAAAGCTCAAAGAGCAAGGTAAACCTTTGGACCTTGTGGTTGATCCCATTGAGTGTTCCACCATACTCCGTTGAGGAGAAATGGTTTATGAGATGTGATATGTAATTATGATAGTGATTGTATGCTCATGCATTGATTCATGCATTGATACATGTTATGATTGATTGATGATTATTGGTTGATGTTTGATTGTTTAAGAGTAATTGAGGAATGATTATAGAAGTAGCAATAATGAATGAGGTAATGGTTGAGGATTGTGATTGAGGTTATGCGTGATAGTATTATGATGAGGATGATTGGTAGGAACTTCCCTTGGAAACAGCCCTATGTGGATCTCCATGTGGTTAGAGCCTAAGAGGAACAGCCCTATGTGGATCCCTCTTGGAGGTTCCTAGATTGAGGAAAGGACTTCCCTTGGAAACAGCCCTATGTGGATCTCCATGTGGTAAGAGCCTAAGAGAAACAGCCCATAGTGGATCTCTCTTGGAAGTCCATGTGATGCTTGTGGATAAGAATGTGTTAAGCTATTATGATTATGTGTACATCAAAGTGAACCTTAGGGTGGAGTGATCTCCAAGGACCTCTGGTTTACTGTGATATATTCGTATATCTCACCCCGTGTTGTGGGGCATCATTTCAGGTACTGATAGAGGTGAGGTTGATCGAGGCAAGAAGCGTGAGTAGACTGTACCTGATAGCTGGACATGTTGAGTTGCATGCCATTTAGCATTGCTATATGTATATTTTGATGCCACATGATGTATTTTGGAGGACTTAGTGCATGATCATTGTAGTAGTAATGGGTATCTGATACAGGGTTACTTGCTTTGATCATGTTCATTTTGTAGCTAAGTCCTTTGGCATGTATATGAGATTTGTAATTAAGACATGATGTAATATTGTAAGTAATGAAGATATTGGTGTATGATGCTTACTGTAAGTTAAATGCATGAATGTATTTTTATGTATTGGATATGTTGAGCTGGAAAGTCAATTAGGTACCTTGTGCTAAGTTGGGAAACGTTGAGAAAACAAAGATTATGCTGCCCAATTTCCGTTAAATCAATGATGAGAGGATGAGAGTTGAGCAATGATATAGGGATATCACAAGCTTGTTAAATAGGTTGTAAAATGTGTAGGATTGATTCCCCAAGAAAGATGCATGAAAAATATGAGTATAGGAAATTGCCCAGAAGAGGGGGCTTAAGCCTGCAAATGGAGGCTTAAGCCTGCTCAGGGGGCTTAAGCGCCCATGAGGGGGCTTAAGCGCCCTGATGCACCTGTGAAGACCAAAAGCTTTCTGCCGCATGGGGCTTTAGCGCCCAAAATGGGGGCTTAAGCGCCCAGGTAGCGCGCTTAAGCGCCCTGGAGCGAGCTTAAGCGCCCTTGGTGGCTAAAAAATGTAAATTCCCTCTGTCTGTGGGCGCTTAAGCGCCCTGGAGCGAGCTTAAGCGCCCTACCCGCGTAGTTTTTCAGCATACACCTGAGTTAGTAAAATTGTCATAACTTGAGCTACAGAGCTCCAAATGAGGAGCGGTTTGAAACCACGCGTAGCTAACGAAGAGATCTACAATATAGTAGAAGTTGGGAAATAAATAAGAAGTAAATTAATGGTTTAAAAATGGAATAAGAACATGATGTTAAGCTTGGTTTATCTGATTCCGCAAGGTAATATGGTTATGATCACGCAATTGGCTATTTTAAATTCGGCGTCGTTTTAAAAAGAAAAACTTATCTGGATTTTAATTGAGCCAATGTGATTGTAACTGCGCTTAATATCATAATGCGATGTTAACAAACCGGTTCTAGAACGGGGTGTTACATTTTATGGTATCAGAGCAGTTTCGTAGGGAATAACTGTTAGCTATTGTTGAGTATGCTTAGTGTTTGATGCTTTATAGTTGTTTTAGTACTCTTGATGATTATTGCATTTGTGATCACTAAGTGTGGGCCTGATCAACTCACTTCTTTGTGTAACATGTGTAGTGACATGACGAGGAACCGAAACAACCCCGGACCATCAAACACCAATGCTCAGCCAGAACCTGTTTTGGCTGCTCTTGTGAGGCCCAGAAGTGGCCGTGGGGCAACGGGCGTACCGCCTGATCCCGTGGCTGAAGCTCTTGCAGCCGTTCAGAGAGAGTTGGCTGCTAGCAGGCAAGCCAATGAAAATTTGTTAAAGACAAATGAAGACTCGCGGACTGCTATGGCCGCGATGATGACCGAGTTGAGGACGTTGAGGGGTCCTAGGCCCGTGAACCGGCAACCCACTCCTCCTCCTCACACTGCTACGCCTTCTCCACCTCCTTCACAGGAAGAGGGTGTAGCGGGTAACAATGAAGGTGAGGCTAGCCACCATTCTGATAGTCATAGCCATCACACTGAGGTCCGTCAACCACGTGTTGAGCGTGTTGACGAGCATGAAGCTGAAGAAAGAAGATTGATGGCTTTCCGAAAACACAAACCTCCTTCTTTTAAGGGAGGTTATGAGCCAATGGCGGCTGCGAAATGGCTCCAAGCTATGGAGAAGATATTCAGGGTGATGAGATGCCCTGACGCAATGAAGTTAATCTACTCTGTTTATATGCTGGAAGAGGAAGCGGAAGATTGGTGGACCAATACCGTGCAGCCATTAGAAGCTGAAGGCCGGGAAATCACCTGGCGGTTGTTCGAGACATTGTTCTTGGATAACTATTTTCCTAGGGAGGCTAGGGAACAGAAACAGAATGAGTATAACGATCTCAAGCAAGGGTCGATGACAATTGACCAATATTTCGCCAAGTTCAATGAATTGGTGAAATATGCTAACTATGGGAGAGCCTTACCCATTCCGGCCGAGATGACCTCTAAATTTCAATGGGGTCTAAATGAGAAGATGTCTCGAAGATGTCAAATTGTGACATCCGAGAGTTTAGTAGATTCGTGAACCAATGCCGGAAGGTGGAAGAAGTTTATGGTGTGCTGAAAAGTAAGAAGTCTTCCGAGGCACAAGCATCTGGTGCTAGTGGAGCAACTGGCTCTACTTCAGAAAAGGGTAAGAAGATGGATGACAGGAGTATTAAAGAAAGATTACAAGCTAAACAATCTGAGGAAAAGTTTAAGAGAAGCGGGAGTCAACAGAGTTGGGACAATGAAAGACCTCTTGTGCCCCAGTGTGACAACTGTGGGAGGCATCACAAGGGCGTTTGTTTGATGGGTCAAAACGTATGTTTCAAGTGTGCTAGACCTGGTCACTATGCGAGGGATTGTCCCCAGATCGTGGGACGAGTTGCTCATGTGCAAGTGGTCTATGACCCTTCAGCAGCGGCAAATGTTAGCACTTCGACCCAACCCCAGCTAGAGAGGTTCCCACGCTTGACGGGAGGTATGACGCATGTAGATTAATATGACATGCATAGTTTATTGAGGTTGGAGCCACACATGCTTAGACTGTGAACTCAATTATGATTGTGTGATTCGTTATGTCTAGTAATTAAAGACTAGACTATGTATTGATTGCTAAAAGATGGTAAGTTGTATGCAATGACCTTTCCATGGATGTAGTGGTAGTATTACCTCCATGAGGATAGTATCCTATGAGATAGAGAATTCTCATTAAAGGTCTAGATTGAGGGGAACTTCCCTTGGAGTTAGCCTTCGGGACCTCCTTGTGGTCAGATACCTAAGAGAAACAGCCCATAGCGGATCTCTCTTGGAAGTTCCATCAGATGAGATTTTATGTATGAGGTTATTAGTAGGACCGCAGAAGGTCAGGGTTAAATATCAAGTGAATAGGTATGACCCTTGAGGAAAATGAAAGATAAAAGTGCTGGAACATATTAGTATCACCTAAT